TGCTGTTTAGTTAAAATCCTGCTGTGCTAAGAATGTCTCAAGTCTCACTCTAATAAAGTTTACAATCCAGTGGATGAGATATGCTCACCAAAAACACATATGTGCGCATAATTATAAATTGTGAAGAGTACTAGGAGAGAATGAAGCATGATTCTATAAAATTAAAGAATTTGGCTTGGCCAGACGTGGTGGCTCATGCCTGTAATCCCAGCACTTTGGGAGGCCAAGGCGGGCGGGTCACCTGAGGTCAGGAGTTAGAAACCAGCCTGACCAACATGGTGAAACCCCCATCCGTACTAAAAATACAAAAATTAGCCAGTCATGGTGGTGGACCCCTGTAATCCCAGCTACTCAGGAGGCTGAGACAGGAGAATCGCTTGAACCCGGGGGGCGGAGGTTGCAGTGAGTTGAGATCATGTCACTGCACTCCAGCCTGGGCAACAAGAGCAAAACTCTTATCTTAGGAAAAAAAAAAAAAAAAAAAACAGGAGCAGACAGAGAAAAATGAGATTGAAGAAAACAGAGCCAGAGTAATGGGAATACAGCCAGAATAAAGTAGTATCTCTAAAGAATCAAGTCTAAGAATGTCAAGATGTTGGAGGGTTAGCAAGCTAGGAGTGTAGATTGACACACAGGTTGAGGACGAGGGAGGTGCCTTTCAATGGTGTCCCATTTCTCCTAAGATAAGTTCCTCAATTTCTCACAATGTCCAAATTGCCCTTCAGCCTCATCTCACCTCATTCCCATCAGCCTCCGGAGTAGCTGGGATTATAGGCGCCCGCCACCACGCCCAGCTCATCTCCGCCTGCTCCTGGAACACTGCTTTCCACTGAGTGATCTCACCCTGATCCCTTTCTCTGAGTGATCTTACCTGTGGCACGGTTTCAGCTATCACCCTTTTCTCATCTGCTTACAAAATAAATAATGCACAATTTTGGTCACATGAATATTTATATGGTCTGCTTAAGCCCTGTTTCGTAATTCTATAGGTAACTGCTTTTTAGAGGATGTTTCCACACTGATACCATTTTAGCTATTAAGACAAATTTGCCACAGGGGAGAGGGAAATGAGTCACCTCTGAAGAGGCACGAACGGTGACTGGTGGGGTGCCGTCAGCAAGGCCTTCCCTATTCACCCCTGGAAACAGTTGACCAATAGTCTGCCCTTGTGTGCTCTCCTGATATATGAAGCACATGCTTTGAATTTGCTGAGGTTTCCACTCATCTTCCCTGAGGCACCCTGACCCAGGGCTCCAGTTGCCCTCTGCTTACATCCACGTGGGCATAGAGCATCCCCCCAGCTTCGGCGGTGTGGAAGGAAACCAACAAATTAAGGCCCTTGAAGGTCACTGTGACAATGTCAGAAAATCAGACTGCAGTGAATGGCTTGGTGGGTCTGATTCTCAGCTAGGGATGCTTCTAAGGTGTCTACTGTGGAAGATAAAGAGGAGAACTAGAAAAAGAAAGGGAGAAAGGGAAGAAAAAGATGCCAGCAAGTATTTGCTAAACACTGCGTGATTTACTTTCACAGGTGTAGTTTATTTGATCCTCACAGACAGCCTGGCAAGGTAGATTTTTTTGTTTTGTTTTGTTTTGAGACAGTCTCGCTCTGTCGTCCATGCTGGAGTGCAATGGCGGGATCTCGCTCACTGCAACCTCTGCCTCCCGGATTCAGCCATTCTCCTGTCTCAGCCTCCCGAGTAGCTGGGACTACAGGTGCCTGCCACTGCACCCAGCCAATTTTTGTAATTTGGTAGAGACAGGGTTTCACCCAGTTGCCCAGGCTGGTCTCGAACTCCTGAGCTCAGGCAGTCCACCCACCTCGGCCTCCCATAGTGCTAGGATTACAGGATTGAGCCACCATGCCCGGCCCAAGGTAAGTATTTTTTACATTTTAATGTAAATGGGCTCAGAACCATGAAACAGGTCTCCTGAACTAAACAAATAAAAACTAGTCATTTGTTGGACAAGTTGGGCATCAGTCATTTTTAGTTTCTTTTGAATTTGATGTTCTTCCAACTGTACCGCAAAGCCTTGGTCATCGATTTGGTGAATTAGCCCGAACCTTTGAGTCATTCTGGGTTCTGTCACTCCCATGAGGACTCAGCTGCCATTGAGTCCTCTGTGCTTTTTCTTTGCACCAGCTTGTCCTGAACCTGCACGTTTAAGTTGAACCAACACAGCCAGAAACCCAAACCAAGTGGCTGACAGCAAGTATGTATAAGCCTGGGACCCATCAGCTTAGCCAAGACAATCTCCTCTGTCCTAGCCTCTGAATTCCTCCCATTTTATTACAGTTCTTTTTTCTTTCTAGTCCAGGTTTCTCATCCTGATTTGGCTCCGCTCACACTCTTGGACATATGAACTGATTTTTTACTGGCTTTAACTCAACTAATGAAGGATTTGCCTCCTGGGCCACCCATTGGTCTTCCTGAACTTACTTCAGGTCCTTGAATGCTTTATGACCCTACCTTAAAGCAAAATCCTCATACTTGTGTACCTGGCTGGCACTCAGATGCTCCAACGCTGAAGTCCTCTAGGGCAGGGGAGAGTTCAGAGAGGACATGGAGAGGAGAATCCAGTTACAGAACGGCCTTTGGGCACTTCCAGCAATGGATCTCCTAAGCAGGTTGTTCTTATCCTCTAGCAGGAGTGTTATATTGAGGAATTTGAAGGAAAGTTTGTCTAGCAAGAACTATCTGCTCTAGTCATCATTAATGGACTATATTGGGCAAGCGGTCATTTGACCAAATTCTGGTATGTAAGGTGAATTCCTTTCTATTCAACTCAATAAGTCATTCTATCCTAGGGGACTCCAAAAGGTTTTGTACAAACCTACATTATCATACACTAATCAGTCCCCAACAGTGAGTTTCTGTGTTGGGTAATTCCAATAAATGTATCTGTACTTCTGGATTTTTTTTTCCGTAGTTCCCAGAATTTTGTCTCCATTACCCATGCATTGTGAATTCCTGGAGAGGTTAACGTTCTCGTCATCACCTCCAGCCGTGACTTCCAAACACTGCTGAATCATTCTCTGCTCCATGTTTGCTGTTACTCCTTATTATTCACACCTTGGCACTGACTGAACATAGATCCAACCCCTTTCCATTATTTTTACAAAGAAACAAATTACTCAGGGTCTTTGCCGCAGTTTTAGGCAGGTAGAAGGAGTTACAGGCAGCACAGAAGGCACCATAACATTGGACATATCCATTTCTTAAGGTTCTCATGGAAATTGTCTGCACGTGGCTTGGGTATCTCTTTCAAAAAGTCTCTTCTTTCTTTTATATTTTCTCTGGTTCCCATATTCCTGTGTTTTTCTAATTGAGAGCAGTTGAGCTCTTTCTTTTATGTCCTGTTCTTTTCTAACCGATGCTCTCAGTGACTCAGCTGCTATTCTCAAGTGGTTTGTTAACATATTTTGCTAATTAAGTCAGTTGTTTCCATGAGAGCTGACTTCTAGTATGATTTTTTAATAGAACATAAACATAAAAGTATTTATTTTTACTAGGGTAGTCATTCACCCAAACAGATGTAAACACAGATCTTTCTTTTACCTAACTCTGAAGGTATTTTGCTTTTTTTTTTTTTTTTTTTTTTTTTGAGACAGAGTCTCGCTCTGTCACCCAGGCTGGAGTGCAGTGGCAAGATCTCGGCTCATTGCAACCTCTGCCTCCTGGGTTTGTGTGATTCTCCCGCCTTAGCCTCCTGAGTAGCTGGGATTACAGGTGCGTGCCACTACGCCCAGCTAATTTTTGTATTTTTAGTAGAGATGGGGTTTCACCATGTTGGTCAGGCTGGTCTTGAACTCCTGATATTGTGATCTGCCCGCCTCGGCCTCCCAAAGTGCTGAGATTACAGGCGTGAGCCACTGTGCCCGGCCCTGCCATTTTTTTATTTTTTAGAAATATACTCCAGTCTGGGCATTCACTGTATCCTTGGCAGAAGTATATTTACAGGTCACCCCACACCTCCCTCCAGGGCCCGTGAGAAGGAGCACCTGGCAAACGGACTCTGAGCTGAGCATCTCATATCTGAAGCCTTAGTGATAAATAGGAAAATTCCCCATTTGTCATCAGTGTCATCCTGTACACTAAGAATTAGGCAGAGATGTATATAAATTCATTAGCCTAATAAGTGAAACCAAGTTAACCAGTGATTGAAATAGTCTTTTTTCTCACCCTCCACACCGACGTTCAGGCCACTATGTGCCTCTGGAAACTCAGTGGGACACAGAGTTTAGTCAGAGGGCATCATGAACTTGGAGTTTGGAAATAGGAAAAGCAGTGGACATTTTATTTTGGTTATTGTAAGTAATAAAAATAGGCAGAGTTTAATAGGCCTGCCTGTTAGTTCAAAACACCCGTGTGATTTGTAGCTTTAAGCATTTAGATTTTTTCCCCTTGAGTGTTTTGAGAAATCTGACCTTTATGATTGATGAGGGGCTGCTCTGTCTTTCTGAATCATGATTCTTTCCAAGGCTTCCCTTCTCTGTTCTTGAAGCTTTTTATTATTGTTATTATTATTGTCATTATTATATATATTTTGAGACAGAGTTTCACTCTTGTTGCCCAGGCTGGAGTACAATGGCCCAATCTTGGCTCACTGCAACCTCCGCTTTCCGGGTCCAAAAGATTCTCCTGCTTCAGCCTCCCAAATAGCCGGGATTACAGGCACCCACCACCAGGCCCAGCTAATTTTTGTGTTTTTAATAGAGACTGGGTTTCACCATGTTGGCCAGGCTGGCCTCGAACTCCTGACCTCAGGTGATCCACCTGCCTTGGCCTCCCAAAGTGCTGGGATTACAGGTGTGAGCCACCATGCCCAGCCTCGGAGCTTCTTTAAGTGCTAGTAAATATAGATTAAATGAATGAATGGTAGGCAAACAAAAAAATTTGAGAAAGAAGACAGAAGGAAAAAGGAAGAAGAGACAGAGAGAGGAAAATGGAGGAGACAGGCAGAGGAGAGAGAGAAAGAGAGAGAGCGAGAAAGAGAACTGATTGTTGTAATAATTTTATTAAGAAACATTATCTAGAATCATTAGCATCACCCAACAGAAATGTGTTATTTAAGGGGAACACTCAACCCACCAGCAATGAAGAGCAGCTGGGACACTCAGATTGACACTCCATATCATAAACTAGGTCAATATATTTTATTAAGATTATTTGATTAATAAGAGAAGTAGCTTTCCTGTTTAGATTTTGGGGAGATAATGCAAAACAAATGCCAACGTTTACTGTCCATTCAAGCCCTGTGCTCCTATGTTTTAATTTTAGTGGGAAAAGGGAAAAATGATTCTTAGTGGTGACATTCCTCATTTCTATGATAACATTCTCTCAAAGTTCTCACAGTACGATCATATGGTTTTAAAGACCCATTGATTAAATACTTTCATCTGAAACTAGAACTAGAAAATATTTACGGAGAATTAAACCAACTGGTAATTTTATCCTCATCATTTTCATTTCCATCATCCTTTCCCTTCTTCAAAACCTTACCAAATGGCAAACGTACAAAAGAACCATGTCTAACCACAGGTTTTAATTCAAGGAAGATAGAAATTTCCTCTCCCAAATAAACCCCAAAATAATGAAGCCAGTAATTCAATAAAGGAAAGAAAAATAATGTGTTCTTGAAGGAAAGTTGCCTGCTAATGGGTCACCACGGTTTTCAGTCTAAGCTGCCCCCAAACCTTGATAGTGGCCAAGAGGACTGATGTCCCAGAGAGCTTCCAGAAGAGGAGTCGCCAGGCACATTCGCTTTCTTCCCTGCTCCATGGTCATATCTGGTATGGTCACCAGTGAAAATCAGGCCTTCAGCTGGCTTTGAACGGTGTGAGCTTAGCCCTGTTTCAGCTGAGACAGGCACTGAGAGGCGTAACTGTGGCTTTCCATCTAGTCCACATCAATCAGTGAATTGGCTTTGTCTTAGGCACCTTTCAGAACAGATAAGAAGCAGTCTTTAGAATGTCAGCACAACTAAGGGGTGCAGGTGGTCAGACCTCCGGGGGGGCATATGACTAAGCTTTCATTTCTGAACAATTGTGGTAACAACAATTTCAGAAAGTGCTATTTCTGGAGCTTTTACTTCTGACTCGAATATTTTGCCAAGAATTCACCTGCATCTTCATAGCCAATGGTCCTCGTTTACAAGAATGATGATCACTATTATCACCATTATTCAGAAGAGGCAACTGAGGCTCTGTCAGGCAGGTTAATCACTGTACCCAGGTTGAACAGGGCACATCCATGGCAGAGCTATAGTGTAGAATCGACCTGTCTGCTGAAAGTGCCCGTGTTGTTAACTGCTATGCAAAATAATGTATTTATTAAAGCGAAGCCATTTTTAAATCAGGGAGGAATATATACATTTATGGTCCATAAAACTTAGAAGTGTTTACCTATTGTTTCTTGACTTTTGCTCTAGGGTAGAATCAAGGACACTGGCTCTGAGGACGGCCCTCCAGCTTGTTGTCAATCCTATCTGTAGCCACTCCTCCACCCTCTGCCACAACCGCCCTCAGCTCTTTATATTCCAGCATACTTTGTGCCTTTGTTTAAACTGCACCATCAGGCTGGGCACGGTGGCTCATGCCTGTAATCCCAGCACTTTGGGAGGCCGAGATGGGTGGATCACGAGTTCAGGAGATCGAGACCATCCTGGCTAATCCGGTGAAACCCTGTCTCTACTAAAAATACAAAAAATTAGCTGGGCGAGGTGGTGGGCGCCTGTAGTCCCAGCTACACGGGAGGCTGAGGCAGGAGAATGGCGTGAACCCGGGAGGCGGAGCTTGCAGTGAGCTGAGATCGGGCCACTGCACTCCAGCCTGGGCGACAGAGCGAGACTCCGTCTCAAAAAAATAAAAAATAAAAAACTGCACCATCTGCCTTAAATATCCTCCTCCTGTTTCACCAGCCCAAATCCTGCTCATTCCTTACAGTCTGGCTCAGTTGTCACCTTCACTCAGAAACTGGGAACTAGAAGAAAGCTGAAGGATGGTTGTTTGAGTTGTGAACCTAGCATGTGTTTTGGTAAATTTGACACAGGTGTGAGTGAAGTTATACTGCATTAGAGAATCCTTTTGTTTGCTAAGTGAGGGCAGACAGTTCTGATTTGCCGTATCCACTGTGATTCTCCAAGAACAGAAGAGGATTTCTCTCTAGAATGGAGAAAGCGGGGCTGCAAAAGCTGCCATTCCAACTGCAAAATCTGTAATTTCATTATATGCTAGATGAAATGTAAGTGGGAGGGGAGCTGCCATGTTCCTACATATAAATGGGAAGAGTACTAAGAATGTTTAATAAATAAGTCTTTGATCCCTCTTGAAATTGTTGATATTCTGCTCCTCTTTTTGCAGTTTGGGTTTGTTAGAATTAATTGATCAATGGCATGTCAGGTTTCTATGCCTTCTATAAGGAAAAGGAATAAGCTGTACATGCATCTGTGGGTAATGTAGTGTTGGTTATCACATTAGGCAGCTTCAGTGCAGTCACAATCCCTCCAAATCCCAGTGACTTAACCAAAACCACATACTTGTGGCTTGGCTTTGCACATTACCAGTAGCTCCTCATCTAGGCAGCTCTGCCTGATCAGTCTCATTGAAAGTTGAGAGGTGCTCGTTCTGGGGACTAGGCTAAAGGGAGCAGCCCTTATTTGAGATACATGGTCAAATGAAAACAGTCACGAAGGCAGGGTCCCTCCCCACCTCTCCACATCCCTGTCTTGTCTGGAACTGCTTTGGGTAATGCTTAGCCAGGACCAGCACATTATACAAGGCAATGTCCACGTGCTGGGATCAGCAAGGAGGAGCTTTCTGTCTCAGGGTTAAGAGTAAAGACTAACCCAGCACCACCTCGAGGGCTTCAGGCTCACTTTCTGTTTGCTTGAAGTCTGCGATGTGCTCATGAAGTCTGCAGTCCTCTCAGGCTTCAGGAACAGCGTCCTTGAGCTGAGCTTCCAGCTACAAAACGAAGATGCACTTGTCATTAACAGAAAGTAAGCACAGTGCAGGGCTCAGCCGAAGCAGTTGGTTAGTAATAAAACAAGTTTAAATTCTAATTTAAGAAAGAATACTGATTTGTGAAAACAAGTACTTCTGATTTCTGTAGAACACTGATTCATGTTTTAAATGGACAATTTCAAACGCACACAGAAGAAGAGAGAGTAATGAACCTCCTCCTGTGCCTGGCACCCAGCTTTGACAGTGAGGAGAAGACCTTTTTTTTTTCTTTTTTCAGACAAGAGTCTTGCTCTGTCACCCAGGCTGGAGTGCAGTGGTGTGATCTCAGCTCACTGCAACCTCCACCTCCTGGGTTCAAGCGATTCTCATGCCTCAACCTCCAGTTTAGCTGGGATTACAGGCACATACCACCTCACCCGGCTAGTTTTTGTATATTTTTTAGTAGAGATGGGGTTTCACCATGTTGGCCAGGCTGATCTCAAACTCCTCACCTCAGGTGATCCGCCCACCTCAGCCTCCCAAAGTGCTGGGATTACAGGCAAGCCACCGTATTTGGCTGACAGCGAGCAACTTGAGCTGAGCTTGCTTCATCTCTGCCTACGCACAAACCATTTGAGAGCAAATCCCAGGCAATGTATCACCTTATCCGTATGTGGAATGGTAATCCTTAGTTAGGGGTTTCATTAATTTGAGTTGTAACTGGCTACAACTTCAAATATATTTGGGTTGCAAAATAAACTAAGAAGAAAACAAACAGATATCTTGTGGCTAAACAGCAAAGAGGCCTGAACTTGAGCATGTGCTTCCAGGCCTTCTCATTTGTGGGATTCACTAAGTAAATTTTTTTTTTTTTTTTTGAGACGGAGTCTCGCTCTGTCGCCCGGGCTGGAGTGCAGTGGCCAGATCTCAGCTCACTGCAAGCTCCGCCTCCCAGGTTCATGCCATTCTCCTGCCTCAGCCTCTCGAGTAGCTGGGACTACAGGCGCCCGCCACCTCGCCCGGCTAGTTTTTTGTATTTTTTAGTAGAGACGGGGTTTCACCATGTTAGCCAGGATGGTCTCGATCTCCTGACCTCGTGATCCGCCCGTCTCAGCCTCCCAAAGTGCTGGGATTACAGGCTTGAGCCACCGCGCCCGGCCAAGTAAATTTTAACAGAATTTTTTTGAGACAGATTCTCACTCTGTCGCCCAGGCTGGAGTGCAGCGGCACAATCTCGGCTCACTGCAACCTCCACCTTCCAGGCTCAAGCGATCCTCCCACTCAGCCTCCCGAGTAGCTCATACTAGATGTGCACGCCACCACACTCAGCTACTTTTTTGTATTTCAGGTAGAGATGGGGTTTCACTACGTTGCCCAGACAGGTCTTGAACTCCTGAGCTCAAGCGATCTGCCCACCTTGGCCTCCCAAAGTGCTGGGATTAGAGATGTGAGCCACTGCCCCTGGCCTTTAATCAAATTTTAAAGTAAGCATTGCTTAAAACATGTCACTCACCAACAGCAGAACATTCAGAATACCCAGGGCAGCAGTTCTCGAAGTGTGGGCTGAGAACCCTGGGATCCCGAGACATTGTCAGAGAATGAATACCCTCTACTTACTGAAAAGGGAATTTTTAAAACTTAGCACCCAGGAACCTCTTTTAATAATTAATTAGTTATCTGTGGGAACCAGGAGTTCTTCATGTACTTCATCCAGAACAGTGTATCAAAACAGATGGAATGCAGAAACAGACATGAGAACCCAAGCGTGTTCTATTAAGCCAGATATTAAAGAAACACTAAAAAATGTAAAAATGTGGCTGGGTGCAGTGGCTCACGCCTGTAATCCCAGCACTTTGGGAGGCTGAGGAGGGCAGCTCACCTGAGGTCGGGAGTTTGAGACCAGCCTGGCCAACATGGTGAAACCCTGTCTCTACTAAAAATACAAAAATTAGCCGGGCATGGTGGTGCATGTCTGTATTCCCAGCTACTCAAAAGGCTGAGGCACAAGAATTGCTTGAACCTGGGAGGTAAAGGCTGCAGTGAGCCGAGATTGCACGACTGCACTCCAGCCTAAGTGACAGAGCGAGACTCCATCTTAAAATAAATAAATAAATAATGTAAAAATGCCATTCTTCTCACTAGATTTTTAAAGAAATAGTTACTTTTCTTTACAAATGTTATGTTAACACGTAATGGGTTTTTATTGTATTGAAAGAATTCTCAGTTTTGATTTCTGCCATGGTGCATATTGAGAGCTGTAATCTACATAAGTAGACGCTCTTTGGGATTGCCAGTGATTTGTAAGAGTGTAAAGGAGTGCTTAGACCAAGACGCTTCAGTAGCACTGGTCCAAAGCAAGTGCTTGAAGTGTCCTAGACTATGATTTGCCTTACTACTGCCATTGGCCCTTTATGGACTGCAGGTTCTCTTATTCAATTAAGCCGGGCCATATCACAGCTTAGCATAAATCCCCTCTACTTACTTAAAAAGGAATTTTTAAAACTTAGGAATAGGAACCTCTTTTAATAATTTCACAAATAGATATTGAGGGATGAGCACAAAATACATGCTTGGCAGATCAACTTACTTGGGTTCACATACAACTTAAGATCCATTTTAAAGTAATTTACATAATGCAGCCCAAGTTCTCAAAGATGTTTTATTAAGGTCATACAAAAGTCCAATCAGTACCATCGCTGAAATATCTAAACAGTTTCCTCCTTTTTTTTTTTTTTGAGACAGAGTTTTGCTCTTGTTGCCCAGGCTGGAGTGCAGTGGCGTAATCTTGGCTCATTGCAACATTGCAACCTCCGCCTCCCAGGTTCAAGCAATTCTCCTCCCTCAGCCTCCCAATAGCTAGGATTACAGGTGCCCACCACCATGCCTGGTTAATTTTTGCATTTTTAATAGAGACGGGGTTTCACCATATTGCCCAGGCTGGTCTGAAACTCCTGACCTCAGGCCATCCGCCGGCCTCGACCTCCCAAAGTGCTGGGACAGAAAGAGGAGCTTTCCAGCTTCTTGGATCTTCAGATCTCCTGCCACATCACGTCAACTTGCTGCGTGGCTACTTCCATCTCCTCCTCCTTTCCCACACCTTCTGTTTCTGGGAGCAGAGCTCTGCAATGAGCTCACTGAGCTCCCGGAAGTCCTGCGGGGCCAGCCTCTGCTGCTGATGGGCATCTTTCAGTTCTTGGGCCTAGGATTTCAATCTCTCTGAAGCTTCAACCAATTCCTGAAAAAAAACGTATAGATGTTTTATGTTTGCTTAACAAAGGCCTGGAAGGCTGGACGTTTAGTCTTACACTATATTGAAGAGTTACAAGTGACAGCCAATGCTGGTTACAGATGAAAGTCACAGACGGGAAAAATCCCCTGCTTGGGAAAAGCCCTGTGCTCGCCTCACCCCAGCCAAGCAGGCAATGGGAAGACCACCTGGGCTCGGGTGCTGAGCACCAACCCCACACCAAGAAGGACCCTGCACTGCATGGAGTAGCTTCCAGCAGGACAGCTGGCTCTGTAACGTCAACCTCTGCCTGATGTCATCTACACAGCTGCAAAGGTGAATAAAACATCTGGGCATTCAATCTAGTTACTTAAACATTAGCAGAAGCAGAAGAAAACATGTAGGCAAAGTGCTGAAGATTTAAGTCAGACCAGGCACTGTGGCTCATGCCGGTCATCCCACCACTTTGGGAAGCTGAGGTGGGAGGATCACGTGAGCCCAGGAGTTCAAGACCAGCGCCTGGGCAAAATAGTGAGGCCTCATCTCTTAAAAAACTAAAAAAGACAGAAAAGAAATTTAAGAAGAAAGACATTTAAATCAAAGTCTCCCTGGGTGGAGGGCCACAAGTAGGACTTACCATGAGTTCAGCTGCACTGACAACCCAACCTCACCACTTGCTGCCCTGATGACTCTGACCTCCCTGCAGCCGATCGGGCCAAGAATCTGGCTGTGTAGTCACTGTCACACCTGTCGGACTAAGACTGGAGGTGACAAGACCTGGAGCAAGCTGGCAGGGTGGCTCCCACTGTAGCAGGACGAGCCACAGACAAAACTCCTCAGACACCGGATTAAAGAAGGAAGAGGTTTTTTATTTGGCCGGGAGCGTCGGCAGACTTGCTTCTTAAGAGCCAAGCTCCCTGAGAAAGAAAATACTTGGCCTTTTTAAAGGCTTACAACTCTAAGGGGTCCACGTGAAAGGGTCGTGATAAATCGAGCAAGCGTGGGAAACGTGACTGGGGGCTACATGCATCAGCTAACAGAACAGAAAGTTTTACAATGCTTTTCTCATACAGTGTCTGGAATTTACAGATAACACAAATAGTTTAGGCCAGGGGTTGATGTTATTATTATTACTTTGTTTAACTTCTAGGACTGGGTGGTGGTGCCAAGGTTGTCTGGCTATTTATCTTACTTTTGTTTCTTTCTCTTTACTCCTGTCTTGTGAACTAGGCAAGGTGGGGGGAGGAGGGAAGCAGGAGTAGTAGTGGTCTCCTTCCTTACCATATGGGGAGGAAAGGGCTCCCCAGGCCTCTCTTGGTCCGGCTCAGAGTCACTGTGACTGTGTCAAGCAACGAGACGCCGCACAGCCCGCACTGCACTCCCAGACAAGTCATGCAGGGGGATGATACCACGGATGATCTTAAAAAGCAATTTGGGCTTAAAATCTGGCACATTTTAGAGGACAGATCACAAACTACATGTCCAAGGACTTCAGTGTATAAATGAATGTATTTTAGAAAACAGAGCCCATGCAGTGAGCTGAGATTGCAGGACTGCAGCCTGGTGACAGAGAGAGACTCTGTCTCAAAAAAAAAAAAAAAAGAAAGAAAGAAAGAAAAAGAAAAGAAAAAAGAACCTAATTGTGTTATTATATACTTAATAGCATTTGAATATAAAGTTCACATATCTTACTAAAAACCAAATTTGTAAAGGAGTTATGGGGAAATCAGCCACATTTTAACAAATGTCCTCTTTTGCAGTTCCCTGTCGTTGCTAAGATGCCCCTTCTAAGAGCAGGGGGCATGGTGTAGAGAGAAGGGCGAGGTCACTGGCGTCAGGCGCAGCGTGTCACTGCAGATAACACAGTACCCTCTGGACATCGTTCCTCATTCAGAATGGGCGGGCTGGGGGAGCTGCTGCTTACTCTGCGGGGCTGAACTGGAGACGGCAGATGATGACTGTGAAGTGGGTGCCTGCTGCAGGCAGCACTCTGAAAGGCACCCAGGGCAGGGAGCCAAGCCCCGCCAGCTGACATGGGCTGTGTAGCAACTGGGCACAGCAGGGGCCCTAGAACCAGGCTTGGCCCTGGTGTCCTGCAGGCAGCAGGGACAGTCCATGAGCGGGGATGCCAAGGAGGTCTTCAAACATCTGTATGAACTCAACCTTACAAAACTCTGCAAAGCCTCTGAAGCCTTTCTCACCCAGAACCAAGCTGCCTACCTTGTGCAGGTCCTCCTCCTCCTGCTGCACCGTGCGGCGCTGCTTCTCTGGCCCCCGTAGCCGCTGTGTGAGATCTTGTTGAGGCGCCGCCTTGTCCTTAAGTTGTCACTCAAGCCTGTTTGAATCTGAGCAAAAGAGGAAATAATTTGTGTTCCTTTCTGTGTAGCGACTGTATGTAAACGTTGTTAGCTGACTTACTGAAATGATTTAATAATTCACAAAACTCTTTTTTTTAGTGCTGTATACTAAATAAAATACACAAGGCAGCAATACTTAGGGGCCAGAAACACTGTTTACTACAAGTAGTTATGGAATCATAACTTACAGTACAATGGGCATGTCCAAGGCTCAATTTTTCTTTCGTCATTTACAGTAAATAGTTTGTTGCTAATTTTCTACACCCTCTACTGGGAATTTGTGTTGCTTTTATAATCAGAAAAATAAATATTGCAGTCATGTAGCATATAGTGATATTTCGGTCAACAACAGAGAGTATATATATAACAGTGGTCCCATAAAATTATAATACCATATTTTTCCCGTAGCTTTTCTGTGTTTAGATACACAAATCCTTGCTGCACAGATCTGTAGCCAACGGGCAAATGCTATACCATGTGGCCTAGGTGTGCAGTAGGCTGCACCCCCTTCGTTGGTCTAAGTATACTCTAAGATGTTCACATCAGTGAAATCACTTGATGATGCATTGTCGAGAACGTATCCCAGCTACTGAAGGACACATGGCTGGACTGAAGAGCACCTTGTGATGCGGGCTGCAGCTGAGTTCTGCGCATGATGTGGTTGGAGCCCTGAGGAAAGGGAGGGCTATGGACTGAATGATGTCCCCCGCTGCCAATATTAGATGCTGAAGCGCTAATCCCCAATGTGACTGTATTTGGGGACAAGGCCTGTAAGGAGATGGTGAAGGTTAAGTGAGGTCATAAGGGCGGGTCCTGATCCAATAGGATTCGTGTCCTTACAAGAGACCAGAGAGCTTGGGTGCTACCATCCTACGGGAGGACGTGGTGAGAAGGTGGCTGTGTGCAAACCAGGAAGAGGCCTCTGGGGCTTTTAGCCTCCAGAACTGTGAGAAAATGAAACCCTGTTGTTTAAGCCACTCAGTCAATGGTATTTTTTTTAGGGTGCCTGGGGCTGACTAAGGCAGAAGGATTCGCCCTCCCGGGGAGAAGAGGTGGGGGCCGGCGGACTCCTCTGACCTTCCTGGCTGTCCGCAGAATTCGGTCCCTGCCCCTCCGCCTTCTGCCAAAGCATCCTTCTAAGGGCAGACCTGATCGCACTGTCCGGAGGTCCCCAAAGGCCACAGAAAAGTCTCAACTCCTGGACCTCACGAGTCCCATCCCACTGGTGGAGCTCCCTGTCTCTGCTCTGCTCTCGCCTCAGGAGGGAAAGTTAAGGGCCTGCTTGGCCACCCTCTAGGGAGGTGCCACGATGGGATGCGGCATCCTAGTGATGAGCTGGGGGTAAGCCAGCACGTCTCTACTGGTGCTTTTCCCAGAACTGAATGCACACTCTTAAATGATGTTTAGGAATGGAAGAATCAAACCGCGAAGAATCACACGCCTGTAGTCCCAGCCTACAAGGAAGGCTGAGGCTTGGGGATCACTTCAATCCAGGAATTTGAGTCCAGCCTGGTCAACATAGTGAGAACCAGTGTCAGAAAAACAAATAAATAAAAAGGAAGTATCAGGTGATTGTTCCAAACTCCTCCAAAATGGGTATTCGGTCCCCACTCTGCTCTTCCTGGAACAGGGGTGTGACTTCCCCTTTCCTGTTGGCCATAAACCCACTCCTTCCCACTAAATTGATGAGAAAAGAAAAAGCATTCATAGCACTTTGAGTTATGTGAGGTGTGCAGAATTTATCAGGCCCAAAAAGACAGGATATGGACTTCAGTCACACCCCTCATACCCATGTCTCAGGTGACTGTTTAAAGGCATTTTGTTTCTGACTAGCTTAACCCATTATCTTCCTGTTCCTGGAATTTGTGACAATGTAGACAATATAGAGACAATAAACAGCTTTTTTTTTTTTTTTTTTTTTTTTTTGAGATGGAGTCTCACTCTGTTGCCCAGGCTGGACTGCAATGGTGTGAACTTGGCTCACTGCAAACTCCACCTCCTGGGTTCAAGTGATTATCCTACTTCAGCCTCTCAAGTAGCTGGGACTACAGGCGCTCACCACCATGACTGGCTCATTTTTGTATTTTTGGTAGAGACAGGGTTTCATCATGTTGGCCAGGCTGGTCTTGAACTCCTGACTTCAAGTGATCCTCCTGCCTCGGCCTCCCAAAGTGCTGGGATTACAGGTGTGAGCCACCACGCCCGGCCCAATAAATAGCTTATGTTATTTTAATATAAATTCCTCAGGCCAGGCCAGCCAAGGTGGGAGGATCCCTTCAGGTCAGGAGTTCAAGACCAGCCTAGGCAACACAGCAAGACTTCCTCTCTAATTTCAAAATTCTTGGTAAGTTAGGAACTGTCTCTTCTTTTCCTTTAAAAACCCACTTGTAACTGCGGCTAATTAGAGGTGTATATTAAGACAACTTGCATCTCCAGGGTTGCACTTCTCAAACTTGGCACAAATAAACTCTTTTTTTCAAGATGGCGTTTTGCTCCGTCACCCAGGCTTGAGTGCAGTGGTGTGATCTTAGCTCACTGCAACCTCTGCCTCCCAGGTTCAAGGAATTCTCCTGCCTCAGCCTCCTGAGTAGCTGGGATTACAGGCGCGTGCCACCATGCCTTGCTAATTTTATTTTATTTTTTGTAGAAACGGACAAGGTGGGTCTCACCACGTTGCCCAGGCTGGTCTCGAACTCCTGACCTGAAGCAATCCTCCTGTCGTGGCCTCCCAAAGCACTGGAATTACAGGCATGAGCCGTTGTGCCTGGCCCAACCTCTCCACTTAGGCTAATTTTGCCTCCTTTCTTCCTTTTTTTTTTTTTTTTTTTTTTTTGACGGACTCTGGCTGTGTTGCCCGGGCTGGAGTGTGCAGTGGCCTAATCTCGGCTCACTGCAACATCTGCTTCCCAGGTTCAAGCAATTCTCCTACCTCAGCCTCCCATGTAGCTGGGATTACAGGTGCCAACCACCAGCCCGGGTAATTTTGGTATTTTTAGTAGAGACGGGTTTTCACCATGTTGGCCAGGCTGGTCTCGGGGAACTGCTGACCTCGGGTGCTCCACCTGCCTCGGCCTCCCAAAGTGCTGGGATTGCAGGGTTGAGCCATCGCGCCCAGCCCGTTTTCTCCTTTTGGGTCACAAAAGGGATTGAATCCTGCCACTTCTCGGGTGCTGGGTGGGAACGGGAAGAGCAGGGTGATTGCAGCGCTGCTGTGACTTGGGTAGATGGCGGGAAGGCCTCTCAGAAGCGGCCTTGTTTGCAAAGATCTGAAAAAGGCTTGGAGAGGAGCAGGCTCGGGGCATTCAGGGAGGGGGCGGCGGCACACTGGGAGCAAGGCAATGTTCCGTGACCCACAAAAGCCGTGCAGTAGCTGTTCCAATCCCGGTCAGAAGACACCCCGGAGATGCCTCAGCACCCGCCAAGCCTTTCATGACCCCGCTGCCTTCCCGCCAATCCTGCACCCAATCAGAGAGCGTCCCCACTTCACGTGTTGAGCAATGGCCAATCAGAACTGGGACCCGGCCTTCGGCCCGCCTCCCAGGAACTCCAGGCCAATGGCAGCCTGGCAGCGGCGGGCCAATCCCGTGCAGCGCGCGCGGGCAGACGGTTGCAGTTGGCCCTCAGCAGCTGCGGCAGCCGGTTGAGGTCTGGAAGCAGCGTCGGGCTGAAGCGGCGGAGTTCGCCATGGTAAGACCCGGGTCCTTCCCGCCCCGCAGACGCCCAGGCAGACGAAGCTGGCCTCGGGCGGACGGAGGGACCTTGTTGCGGGCCTGGGCGCTGAGCTGAGAGGAAGCCGGAGAAGGACGCGGGGTCTAGTGCGGGACGGGAGGACACGGAATCGTCTCCCGGATCTGCAGGTCCCAGGGCAGGGACGGCGGCTTTTGTTTTAAATGAAGCTGCCGGTCTTCAGTCGGTGGACGGGGACCATGGACGGTGTCCCGTCCCCAGAGAGCAAATAGTGGCGTCGCCTGCTGAAGACGGAGGGCGCTGCGTCCGCTTTCCAGTCTCCACGTGGGAGTGCACGAGTCTGTGCTGCCGGCAACGACCGAGGAGCCCCAGGCGTCTTCGCTGACGGGGCTGGGGCGTGGACGTGGGTCCGATTAGGAATTAAGGCTCAGACGCAGCTGAAACGTTGCCTCGTTCGCCCAGAGGCAACGCGTTAGGCCAGGCGCGGTGGCTCACGCCTGGAATCCCAGCCCTTGGGGAGGTGGAGGCGGGTGGATCACCTGACGTCTGGAGTTCGAGACCAGCCTGACCCAACATGGCGAAACCCGGGCTCTACCAAAAAATACAAACATTCCCCGGGCGTGGTGATGCGGGGCTGTGGTTCCAGCCACTCGGGAGGCTGAGGTGGGAGGATCAGCCGAGCCTGGAAGTTTGAGACTGCAGTGAGTCCTGCTGGTGCTATTGCACTCCAGCCTGGGCCACAGAGACCCTGCCTCAAAAAAACAAAAAAAGCAACCCATTAACATAATAGATTCCCAAGTCCCAAGTCTGAATACCTGTGGTTTGTCAGTTATCCTTTTTTTTCTTTTCTTTTCTTTTTTTTTTTTGACAGCACTCAACAGATGCTCTGTTGCCCAGGCTGGAGCACAGTTGCGGGATCACGGCTCCCTGCAGCCTTGAACCCCTGGGTTCCAGCAGTTCTCCTGCCTCAGCCTCCCGAGTAACTGGTACTACAGGTGTGTGCCACCACACCTGGCTAATTTGTAAATTTTTCTTTTTTTTTTTTTTTTTGAGATGGAGTCTGGCTCTGTCGCCCAGGCTGGAGTGCAGTGGCGCGATCTCAGCTCACTGCAAGCTCCGCCTCCTGGGTTCACGCCATTCTCCTGCCTCAGCCTCCCGAGTAGCTGGGACTACAGGCGCCCGCCACCTCGCCCGGCTAGTTTTTTTGTATTTTTTAGTAGAGACGGGGTTTCACCGTGTTCGCCATGATGGTCTCGATCTCCTGACCTCGTGATCCGCCCGTCTTGGCCTCCCAAAGTGCTGGGATTACAGGCTTGAGCCACCGCGCCCGGCCAATTTGTAAATTTTTCACAGGGACAGGGTCTCACTGTGTTATCCAGGCTGGTCTCAAGCTGGTCCCAAGCGATCCTCTCGCCTCAGCCTTCTAAAGTGCTGGGATTACAGGAATGAGCCACCACATCCAGCTTGGCAGGGTTTAAAGAAACCACCAAAGGACAGTGCAGTGTCCCAGCACTGATGATGTCTGGGAGCCATTACACCTGTAGGCTTCAAGGGGTGGAGAGAGGGAGTGGTTACAAGAAATTGAGAGGGCAACCTGCCAAAAGTGTGGCCTTAAGAGGGATTCAGGTCACCCACAGCAGTTGAGCAGGAAGGGGCCAAGGAGGGAGTACCCTGGCGTTGCTCTCCTCCAGCCCCCGGTATCCCACTGCTGCCTGCCATTGACTAAACCAGCAAGAATCCAGAGGGCAAGGAAGGCCTCTGATGCTGTTCTCAAGGGTCAGCCTCCGAGAGCACAGAGCAGATGGTGAATGATGGAGGGTAGATCTGGGGGGCAGAGAGAGGACACACACTGAGCACCTGCACTTGGACCATGGGGACCTGAGACCTACTCTGTATTTCCTTACCCAACCCAACTACCTTATCCTTTGATCAGGACATAATCAAAAACTGCTATATATTCTTCAGAGAATTACTGTGACTGGCTATAATGTGGGGTAATTATTGACATTACATGACTTCCAAGTTTTAAAATAACCTAATTTTTGTGTAGTGGAAAACAGGTTCTAGGGCTACCTGTAGAACTTAGTAGCTGGTATGGTTTACAGCAAGTTAGTTTTCACAGGGCTGAAGGGATCAGTCCCCTAACCCTCCTAGGAAATACCAACTGTGAAAGCACCAGATACTGAAGCACTATATAAATATTAAATTAAAATATTTGCATGCCATATAGCTTCAAGTTGCCTTGAAATGAATGGGTTCACATTTATGTTCCGGTTCACAGCGCGAGTGTATCTCTATCCACGTGGGGCAGGCAGGTGTCCAGATCGGCAATGCCTGCTGGGAACTGTACTGCCTTGAACATGGAATTCAGCCCGATGGTCAGATGCCAAGTGATAAAACCATTGGTGGCGGGGATGACTCCTTCAACACGTTCTTCAGTGAGACTGGGGCTGGCAAGCATGTGCCCAGAGCAGTGTTTGTGGACCTGGAGCCCACTGTGGTCGGTAGGTGCCTGGGCACTGGATGGCAGCTTTCCTGAGAGGGTGGGAGAGCAGTGTTAAAGTCCCGCGTGGGTTCCTTTGAATCCTCCTGCCGAAAGGATGGGATGGACAGGCATATGCCCGTGGCGTTGTTAGGAGAGAAACTGAAAGGTTCGTGATGAAAGTGTCTGTGAGACTTGGCTCCTAATCTAGGAAAACCTGACCTACAGGGAAAAGCTGCTTTGCCAGCAGTAAGATGGGCTGTGGAGGGATTCCCTTGTGGCTGCCTCAGCCCTGCTCAGATGGCCCTGCCTGCAGGGTGCAGTAGCCTTGGTTCCCTCCTGAATGCTCTGCACTCTTTTATGCTGGTGCACGAGAGTCTTGACCTGCATCTTAGGCATAGAAGGTAAGTACAGAACAGTCATTTGCTTCCTTCAGAATAGCAGCCTGAGGTAGTTTCCAAAGACAGCTGCCAAGAGGCAGCACCTTTCAGTGGCCCCCTAGGAAATGACAGCATCACCTGAAAGCCTGTGAGACCCAGGTCATCCAGGGTGCCCTGATGGGACTGCCCTGCATAAGTCACACTGATCTGGTGACTTCCCAGGTTGTATGAGTTTTTAACTTATAGCCTTTGATGTAGCTACACGTAGGAAAGAATTATGTACCTGCGTAGGAGTGTAAGAGCTTATTTCCTTTCACTCGGAACTGGTCGTGCTGACATGTATACCACAAGCTGAGTGTCACTTCGTAAAGTCATAAATTGCATATGCAGTTTGGTTATCACACAGAGACATTGTCTACCAGATGCTGCCACTGTTGACCTATGACTTGTAGGTCATGTACTTTGACCAGCATGTACTCTGTAGAAGTGAACAGTCCTGGAATGTGTCCATCTTGGTGAGTACAGGCCTTAAAGATTCACGGCACACACTGTCTCTTTTGTAGATGAAGTGCGCACAGGGACCTACAGGCAGCTCTTCCACCCAGAGCAGCTGATTACTGGGAAAGAAGATGCAGCCAATAATTACGCTAGAGGCCATTACACCATCGGCAAGGAGATTGTTGACCTAGTCCTGGACCGGATCCGCAAACTGGTAAGAAGAGAAGGTTTCATGTGGCCATTGTCTTGCATGGGAGGGTAGTTCTTGGAAGGTGAAAGGGAGGTCATTTTATCAAAATTTAGATCAGCATGTTGGCCGGGCACGGTGACTCACACGTGTAATCCCAGCACTTTGGGAGGCTGAAGTGGGTGTATCACCTGAGGTCGGGAGTTTGAGACCAGCCTGGCCTACATGGTGAAACTCTATGTCTACTAAAAATACAAAAATTAGCTGGGTGTGGTGGTGCACATCCGTACTCCCAGCTACTTGAGAGGCTGAGGCAGGAGAATTGCTTGAACCCGGGAGGCAGAGGTTGCAGTGAGCTGAGATTGCACCACTACACTCCAGCCTGAGCAACAGAGCAAGATTCCATCACAAACAAGCAAACAAACAAAAACTTAGACCAGCATCTTGAGTCCTACTGAGTCTGCAATGGTGATTTGTCTGTAGATCTTTGTCTGCTTTTCTTTGCTTCAAAGTGTACTACGTGTTTATTATGGATGATTTGAATCCATATCAAGTCTTCAGAGGCAAAGAGAAGTGGCCTTGGCTTGTTGGAGGTTGGTGGTGTGGCTTCCACGGCCATTGACTCATGTTGTCTGGTTTCTCTCAGGCGGATCTGTGCACGGGACTGCAGGGCTTCCTCATCTTCCACAGCTTCGGGGGCGGCACTGGCTCTGGGTTTGCATCTCTGCTCATGGAGCGGCTCTCAGTGGATTATGGCAAGAAGTCCAAGCTAGAGTTTGCCATTTACCCAGCCCCCCAGGTCTCCACGGCCGTGGTGGAGCCCTACAACTCCATCCTGACCACCCACACGACCCTGGAACATTCTGACTGCGCCTTCATGGTTGACAATGAAGCCATCTATGACATATGTCGGCGCAACCTGGACATCGAGCGTCCCACGTACACCAACCTCAATCGCCTGATTGGGCAGATCGTGTCCTCCATCACGGCCTCCCTGCGATTCGATGGGGCCCTGAATGTGGACTTGACGGAATTCCAGACCAACCTAGTGCCGTACCCCCGCATCCACTTCCCCCTGGCCACCTACGCCCCGGTCATCTCAGCCGAGAAGGCCTACCACGAGCAGCTGTCCGTGGCCGAGATCACCAATGCCTGCTTCGAGCCAGCCAATCAGATGGTCAAGTGTGACCCTCGCCATGGCAAGTACATGGCCTGCTGCATGTTGTACAGGGGGGACGTGGTCCCCAAAGACGTCAACGCGGCCATCGCCACCATCAAGACCAAGCGCACTATCCAGTTTGTGGATTGGTGCCCGACTGGATTTAAGGTATGACTGGGTGATGTGTAGGCCTTTCAGCAAGCAGCAGACGCACAAAATAACACTGTCCCTGAAGGCCCGCATCCTTTGGGGAGACTCTCCCTGTTCCATGGGCTAGGCATGTGGGCATAAAGTAGTGAACCAGAGTTGATAATTGATCCACTGAATTTTTTTTTTTTTTTTTTTTTTTTTTTTTTGGAGACTCTCTTGCTCTGTTGACCAGGCTGGAGTGCAGTGGTATGATCTCAGCTCACTGCAACCTCTGCCTCCTGGTTTCAAGCAATTCTCCGGCCTCACCCTCCCAAGTAGCTGGGATTACAGGTACCCACCACCACACCCGGCTAATTTTTGTATTTTTAGTAGAGACGGGGTTTCACCATGTCGGCCAGGTTGGTCTTGAACTCCTGACCTCAGGCGATCTGCCCACCTCAGCCTCCCAAAGTGCTGGGATTAAAGTTGTGAGCCACTGCGCCCAGCCCAGTGATGTCTTTTGAACTCTCTTTCTGAGTCATCACACTATATATCTGTGGTGAGATTTATTTATTTATTTATTTTTTGAGATAGGGTCTTGCTTTGTACCCCAGGCTGGAGTACAGTAGTGTGATCCTGGCTCACTACAACCTCTGCCCTCAGGCTCAAGTGATTCTCTCACCTCAGCCTCCTGAGTAGCTGGGACCACAGACATGCACCACCATGCCCGGGAAATTTTTTTTTTTTTTTTTTTTTTTTTTTTTTTTTTTTTTTTGAGGCAGTCTTGCTTTGTCACCCAGGTTGGAATGCAGTGGCATGATCTTGGCTCACTGCATCCTCCACCTCCCAGGTTCAAGAACTTCTCTGCCTCCACCTCCCAAGTAGCTGGGATTACAGGCACCTGCTAATTTTTGTATTTTTGGTAGAGATGGGATTTTGCCATGTTGGCCAGGCTGGTTTCGAACTCCTGGCCTCAGGTGATCCACCTGCCTTAGCCTCCCAAGTGCTGGATTACAGGCATGAGCCACTGCACCCAGCTAATATTTGTATTTTTAGTAGAGATGGGGTTTCGCCATGTTGGCCAGGCTGGTCTCAAACCCCTGGCCTCACGTGATCTGCCCGCCTCAGTCTCCCAAAGTGCTGGGGTCACAGGCTTGAGCCACCACACCTGGCCTGATGTTGTCATTTATAGAACAAGTGTGCTGATCCCTGCTCTAGTTGACCCTGTGCACTGCTGCCAGGACCTCAGGTCATGTTAATCCTGAGTTCTGAAACTTGGAATGCTTCCCCTTTGGTTACCACCTTGGAATGCCACCCCCTACTTAGGCAGGCACATGGACCACTTCGACCACTTCCTGATGCTGCGGTAGCAGCATTCATATGACTCTTGACCCATGATCAGCTACCTTTGCATATCCACAGTGGCTTGTTTTGTGGGTCAGAAGTGGGTATGATGTTCCTTGTGATAGCATGGGGAAGAGTTGTGTACTCTGAATCTATCCGGGTGGAAGAAGTTTAGCTACAGAATTTAATTGTAATCTACAAAGAAGACAAACAGCATACATTTTCAGAGGGAAGACTGTCTTCACCTGGGCACCTATCACATGTCACAGGTACTAGGACACAGCCCTTCAGGTAGCCTAGGATCCCACCAGGGTGGCTACCTCCAAGGTTCCTGTCTCTGTTCTCCATCTGGGACTATCACCCTGCCTGGCGCAGAGAAGGGCTTAGTGATGTTTGTGAGGTGAACTGAGTATCCTCCTTGTCACCCACAGGGTGTCTTCTGTTTGAGGAAAAGTAGCTACCATTTCTAGGTTTGATATAAGCTTCACAGACTGCTTTCTTTCCCTTCTCCGGCAGGTGGGCATTAACTACCAGCCCCCCACAGTGGTCCCCGGGGGAGACCTGGCCAAGGTGCAGCGGGCCGTGTGCATGCTGAGCAACACCACAGCCATCGCGGAGGCCTGGGCCCGCCTGGACCATAAGTTCGATCTCATGTATGCCAAGCGGGCCTTTGTGCACTGGTACGTGGGCGAAGGCATGGAAGAGGGAGAGTTCTCTGAGGCCCGAGAGGACCTAGCAGCTTTGGAGAAGGATTATGAAGAGGTGGGCGTGGATTCCGTGGAAGCTGAGGCTGAAGAAGGCGAAGAATACTGAGGGGAGGGTGTGGTGAGTTCTCCCCTGCCACCCCCAGGATGGCTGCTTTCAAGTTGTTTGCAATTAAAGGTTCTGTACAAAACCAAGACCTCTGTGTGTCATGCAGCTTAGTTCTGCCTTACAGGAGCTGGTGGGACCCCAGAGACTGCATGGACAGCAGAGGGGCGCCAGCCTGCCCTGCTGGCGTGGGGTTGGGTGCAGCAGGACTGTACATACTTAAGCAGCTGCCACGGAAGTAAACTGACCAGGGGAAAACAGTGTTTCTTCAAAGCCAAGCGTTCAAAGTATAGATTTCCTAAATTCTAGGAAAGCAGAGTCAGGGTTTTCAATTGAATTTGCGAGTTTTCGGGCTTCTTTATTGATGGGTCATGCTGGCTAAAAGGAAGACACTAGAAGTGAAGTGTTGGAGGTCTGTGGATGGGGCTCGTCCGTGAAGTCTCTAAAGCTGTGGGTCAAATGTGTAAGGTCAGGACATTTTAGAGGGGGAAAGGGTATTAACCAAGTTCTGCACAGCATTCATGACCCACAGAAGGTCACAACACATCCATGCTGACCCCGGTGCTCCTCCTTAACCTGGAGGGCAGCATTCGCCCTCTCTGCACACACACAACCACCCTGTCCCTCAGCACTGTCAGCTGTCTTGGTAGAAAACCTCCCATGAGGTGGGAGATCGAGACCATCCTGGCTAACACGGTGAAACCCCGTCTCTACTAAAAATACAACAAAATTAGCCGGGCGTGGTGGCGGGCACCTGTAGTCCCAGTTACTCAGGAGGCTGAGGCAGGAGAAAGGCGTGAACCCGGGAGGCGGAGCTTGCAGTGAGCTGAGATCACACCACTGCACTCCAGCCTGGGCAACAGAGACTCTGTCTCTTGAAAACAAACAAACAAACAAACAAACAAAAACCTCCCACATTTCACTTCAAGTGAAGCTTGTTGACATCTGTTTATAAAAGACCTGGCAGTCCAGATACCTTTTCTTAGAACTCAAATTAGGTTCAGGAAGTTGACCCATGGTGAAGGGATCCCGTTAGTTTGCTGTGGCACAATTAAGACTGGCACAGAAAACTCATTCTAAGTCTGTGCCTTAATATTAAAAAAAAAAAAAAAAAAAAAGTAGAGAACGTCTGACCTGGACCCTCTGCATCTCAGAAAGGTTTATTATCAACTGAAGGAGATAACACGTAGCCTTTGCTGGGAACAAAGATGTGACAAGTCTCTGCCCCATCCTAGGTGCTGCCCCGCGTAGGGCTCTTCCCAGGCCCGCCTCCCTTGGGCAGTCTGGTAGCGCTGGGCTGGCGTGGCATCCTCTGGCTGGATCCTTCGCGGCTGCTGCGTTCCGCCAGGGCCAACGCTCCCCCGAGGGCAGTGCTGCCTTTGTTTCTCCCTGAGGAGACACAAAGCACAATGATTAGGAATGGGTGAGCCCCGTAACTGCAGCACCTGTGGTACTCGTGCTCCTTGGGCAACATTTGTGTCTACACATTTCCATCAAGGCTGCTTCAGCGAGAGGCTCTGCATCAGCCCCAGTCCTGAGACTCAGAACCACTAAAGACAGGTCATGCCCCAGAAGCCCTTGGCAGTGTGCAGGGGACCCTTTAGGATGTGTCCCAGGAGCAAAGCCATGCAAGGAGCACACTGCCAAGGGAACATTTTGAAAGGACACATGCCACGGGTCCATTTAGGGAAAAGTAGGTGCGGCTGGTGCACACCTGGCCTGGACAGCAATCCTAGTCTGCCCTGACGGCGCCATCAGCGGCAGCAGCAGCATGGACGTGCTGCCTCATCCTCAAGGTGCATTCATGCTGGACTGTACATCTGAGCTGCCCCAGATGGTGACGGGCAGGAAGTACTGCAGTCACCAGGTCCTGGAATTGGGTTTCTGATTTTGATTTTGGAAGCTCTTTCATTGTTTCCTACCTACCCGAGTGTTCCGCAAACAGTGGTCAACCCTCTTGCTTTCGGGTTTAGCTGCCAGATTCCATGACAGGGTTCCTGCCACAGTCTGAATGCTTGAGACTTTCTGACCACCAGTGTCTTTCTCGGATGAAGACCACCGGTTCAGAGATTCTTTGATTTGTAATTTGCTTACTTTACACTTTAAGATAGCCAAGAAAGATCTGCAACCACACTTGGGCCAGAGCTTTATTTTAATGGGATGGATTTCCCTGGGCTCAGGGTGTTGACAGCATCAGCAAGACTGACTGAAGACCCTGCAAGGTACAAATGTACCCGGGTGGCAGGCTCGCCGTGCAGAGTGCCTTGGCCAGGGCTTTCCCCTGCTCTGGCCTGGCAGGGTCTGCCCCATGGGCTCTAAACAGGGCATGTGTCCCCTGCCTCAGTGTTGGGTCCCCCATTTCGTCCCCCCAGCGTTTCCTTTGTCCTGACTGAGGGAGTGCCTTGACCACTCTGACCTAGTCAGCTACATGTTCCCCCTGCAGGCTGGAACCCTGGCTGGGGCTTGCATCTTCTCAGACACTGACACAGGTTTAGGTTGTTACCTGGAACACTGAAAGATCTGATATGTTGCTAAGCATGTGGAAACCGGTCCCACCCCAGCCAAATTCCTTGCACTGTCATAGAAACTCCACACCCCACCCCCTCAGTGCGGTGTACCCAGGCACAACCTCTTTCCTGGCTGCCCCTCATGAGGGCACACTGCAGCCCCCTCTCTATGTAAGTTCCCTAACAAATGCTTTGGACTGACCACTCTGGCATTGTTTCTTCCTTTGGAATCCCAACTGGCTCTTATCCTGGAAAGGTTTGGGGCAGTCCCTTGCAGGAACTGCCCTGCCACCACTTTAGGGTGACTCCAGACAAGGGTTCAGCCAAAAGAACGCCCAGCCTCAATCCTGGTCCTTCCCTGGCCTCTTAGCAAGTGTAGTCAAATAACCTGCAATGGGAAACTGCATTCCTGGAGAAAAGATGTAACTGGGTGTTTAGGGATCCATTAGGTCATTTCTGTTTCACCATCTGTCACCTTGAACAAGCAGACTCCTGTGTCTGAGATGCCGAGGACCCTGGCTCTTCCAGAGGTACCTCTAGCTCCCTTCCGATGCTAATACCACAAAATTCTCCCCATGCCCTGCACGGATAGGACAGCCCTCCTTATGAGTTTCTGGGCAGTTCTTCCTCAGAGAATGAGATCTTTGCTCATTCTTGCCTGGTGGTGGTGAGGGTTATAGCAGTGTCATGCTTGGAACAGCTTGGCACACTTGACTCAACAAAGATGGAGTCGGGGTTGCCCTGAGTCAAGGAGGAGTGCAGTCAAGAACACGTGGTGGGTGACGTTTGGCCACCTCAGCCCAGCAGTGACTCGTGAAAACGGCACAAAGCAGAGAACAGCCACCACGCGTCTCTTGTGGTACAAACTGCCATTATTCTAGTCTCCACTGACTGGTCAAGGGGTGAGGATTCTGTCTTCCATGAGCAGACAGGACCCGCCACCCTGCAGCAGCTCCCACTGGGCCAGCATCCTCCTGAGGCCACAGTCCCTCCGCAGGCCAGGCCAGACAGAGGCAGATCTTCTGTAGCCGCGGCCTAACCTGGGTGCTTAGGCGCCCATGTGCTCTCGAGGTTACTAATGCCTAGCTCCCCACAGCCAGTGGCATAGCAGGCTGCAGACCTGGGCCTGACTCAGAGCCGCCTTCCCTTCAGTTTGCCGCCATCTGAGTTTCCTCTCCTCCCCTCAGTAATGACCTGGTCCGTTCTGGAAACAAGGATGAGGGGGAAGCAGAAAAGAGCAAATGATGTTTTTTTGTTTGTTTTTTTTTTTTTAAGTGGTGGCGGAGAGGGGTTTAGAGACTGAGTCTTGCTGTGTCACCCGGGCTAGAGTGCAGTGATGCAATCACAGTTCATTGCTGCCCCAAACTCATGCGAAGTAGCTGGGACGACAAGCATGGGGCCACACCTGGCTAATAATACTTATCTTTAAATCTGACAGGGTTGACAAACCCTGTAAATGTGAAACCAACATAACTTTAAGCCATAATTGATATTAAGAAAATCCTGGAAATCTTCAGGAATTGCGTGCTCTCGGGGTTAGTGGGGAGCCCTGTTCAGGCCTACTCAGTTTATGAAGGATAAGAAGGCCCAGAATAGAGTGGCCTGCAGTGCCGTGCAGTGGGAAAACCAGCTTGGCTTAGCCCTGCTCCCTCGGGAGGCGCCGCTAAGTCACACGGGCTAGACAGTGGGATTGAACCAAGTGTGCCTGTGGTTGGGGTGTGAGGGCGGGGTGACTGATGCCCCTAGGCCTGGTCCCTGGAGGGCCCTCCTAAGCCCAAAGATAGTCAATGACCATTGAATGTTAAAACCAGCCTGGCTCAGCAGGGGTCAGTGGCTCACGCCTGTAATTCCAGTACTTTGGGAGGCCAAGATGGGTACTTTGAGGCCAGGAGCTAGAGACCAGCTGGGCCAACACAGTGAGACCTCCATCTCTACAAAAAAATCAAAAAATTAGCCAGGTGTGGCAGTGTGCACCTGTAGTCCCAGCTACTCAAGAGGAGGTGGGAGGATTGCCTGAACCCAGGAGGTTGAGGCTGCGGTGAGCTATGAGTATGCCACTGCACTCCAGCCTAGGTGACAGAGACTCTGTCTCAAAAATAAATAAGTAGTAAAGAAAATGCAGAATTAGCTCAAATACTGTAATCAATCTAAAATATCCAACGTATTATTTCAATATGTAATCAGTGCATAAGTTATTCATAAGATGTTGCATTCACCTTTGTTCTTTTTCTTGTTTGTAGAGATGGGTGGGGTCTTGCCGTTGCTCAGGCTGGTTTCAAACTCCGAGCTTCAAGTGATGCTCCTGCCTCAGCCTCCCAAAGTGTTGGGATTACAGGTGTGAACCAATGCCCAGCCTCATTCACCTGGGGTTTTTTGTTTATTTTTGAGACAGGGTCTCACTCTCTCACCCAGGCTGGAGTGCGGTGGTGCAGTCACAGCTCACTGCAACCTCAACCTCCCAGATTCAAGCTATCCTCCAGCCTCAGCCTCCCAAGCAGCTGGAACTACAGATGTGTGCCACCATGCCCTGCTAATTTTTGTATTTTTTGTAGAGATTGGGTCTCCCCGTGTTGTCCTGGCTGGTCCTGAACTGCTGAGCTCAAGAGATCCAGCAGCCTCGGCCTCCCAAGGTGTGGTGGGCTTTTTGCATTCCCTTTTGCACCAGTCCTTTGGCATCTGCTGTGCATAACACACGCAGTGCAATGACCACACCAGCCATGTGTGGCTTGAGGTTCCTGTATCAGGCAGCACAGCTCAGGTGAGACTCACGGCTTCCACACTCCAAAGTGTCATCTTACGTGCATGCTCTGGACAACTTTTAAAATGTATAGTTTCCCTAAACTTCAATAGAATGCTTGACTGAATTTATTTTTCCCTCAGTGACTCCAGACTCTTACCAAGACAAGTATCACCCAGACTCTTACCAAGACAAGCATCACCCTTCCGTGCTTCTGGGGTTTTCTGTTTCCCCTGCCCTGTGGGTGTGAGTGAATCTGGTGGTGGTGGTTCCCCCAGGCGGTCTGGATGGCTAGGGAACAGGCATCCAGAGGACCCAAGGTGCCTGCTGCAGCTCAGAGGCAAGCTCGCGTGGGCCTGGCCCACAGCCTGCAGAACTCCACACCCGAGTCCTGTGGGAAATCCGTGGCCTCCATGCCCCCCAGCCGGATCACTCTGACAACCCCCTTATGTCCTCCACCTGATTCTGCCGTTACCAGGGCAGCCGGAGCTGGTCAGATGCTGTAACATGTGGGCCTCAGAGAGCTTCAGCATTCCATCTGTGGCCTCTGCCTCTCACTCAGCACTCCTGGTGTGGCCCCATTCCCTTCCACCCCCTCCTCAGGCTCCACTCTATCCCCACAGGGGCCTCCGTGCCCTCATGTCCTGGCTTTCTGCCCCCAGCCTATAGGACCGGACCTGGGCTATGCTTCCAGGATAGAGCCCTCGAGGAACAAAAGACCCCGAGGGGCCCAGCACTCCAGGCCACTGCTGTCCTTGGGTAAATTCTCTCGGAGCCCCCACTCGCTCGCATGGCACCCCCAATCCTCCCGGCCCCTCTATGCCTGCATTTCCAGTGCCACAACCCCCACGTACATCTTGACTGTGCCCCCAACCTCCCTCCTCCCACCCTGGGCCTAGCAGCATCTGCACAGCACTCTGCCTCACCCACCCCCTCCCACTGCCACAGCTCACACCTGTGGAGCTCTGCTGACCCCCCGCCTCCTCCTGCTCCGCCCCGTGTAACCCTTGCTGCTCTCTGGGCTCTGAAGCCTCCTCCCATCTCCATTGCTAGCGGTTTTTCTTTTCTTTTTTTGTTTTTTTTTTTTTTTGAGACAGGGTCTTGCTCTGTTGCCCAGGCTGGAGTCCAGTTACAAGCTCTTAGCTCACTGCAACATCTCCCTCAGGCTCAGGCGATCCTCCCATGTCAGCCTCCCAAGTAGCTGGGACTATAGACGGGCACCACCACCATGCCTGCCTGGCTAGTTTTGTTTTTTTTTTCTTTTGAGGAGTCTTGCTCTGTCGCCCAGGCTGGAGTGCAGTGGTGTGATCATGGCTCACTGCAAGCTCTGCCTCTCGGGTTCACACCATTCTCCTGCCTCAGTCTCCTGAGTAGCTGGGACTATAGGCGCCCGCTACCATGCCCAGCTAATTTTTTTTTTTTTTGTATTTTTAGTAGAGACGGGGTTTCACCGTGTTAGCCATGATGGTCTCAATCTCCTGACCTCATGATCCGCCCACCTCGGCCTCCCAAAGTGCTGGGATTACAAGTGTGAGCCACTGCGCCCGGCCCTGCCTGGCTAGTTTTTGTATTTTTTGTAGAGATGGGGTATTGTTATGTTGCCCAGGCTGGTCCTGAACTCCTGAGCTTAAGGGATCTACCTGCCTTGACTTCCCAAAGTGCTGGGATTACAGGTGTAAGCCACTACGCTGGTCTTGCTGGCAGTTTTCCTCACTGCCTCTCACTGAACTGAGTGTGACCATCTCACTTCCCCGCCACGCCCTCTGCCCTGAGAGCTGGGCCTGGCACCCAGGGCCCCTGAGTGAGCAGCAACATCCCCTGGAGTGACAAGGACTCTGTTCCCAGTTTCCCTTCTGCTGGAAACCTGCCCCTCAATTGCTCATCTCAGCCTGCAGTCCCTATACCCCTACTCCAGGCCTGTCCCTCAGCCCCCTCCACCCTCCCTTGGGCCTGAGCTCTGGGTGGCAGTGAGGTGGGCGCTGTCGGGAGACATATGCAGGAGGTGTGACCAAAGACCCCTGGGCTCTCACAGGCCCCTGGCTCTGGGCCCCTGATCACACCTGGTGACACCTGGAAAGTGGCCCCAACTCAGGAGTGAGGCGGGCAAAGGGGCTGAGTGCTGGAGTGTGGCCATGGGACCAGCACATGGCATCCCAGGAGACTCGGGGAAGGTGGGACTCTCTGTTTCAGCCTCCAGACTTCCTGTCCGGGTAGGGGGCAACTTCTAAGAGGCCGAGGTGACAAGCACAGTAGTCGTGGCTGTGCTCTCCAGCACAGCACACCGCACCCTGGCCAGCTGTCCTCCCCTGGAGCAGGGCTCTTTACACTCACCACAGTTCGCCTCTGGAGTGTGGGGGTGTTGGTCCTGTCCCCGGATGCCAGCCCGACTGTGGGGTCTAGAGACTGTCATACCATGTCTCTAACAAACCGAATCAGAAATCCTGCCCTGTTGCTAAGTGGCAGGGCAGCGGTGGCCTGCATGGTCCTGCCCTTGCAGCTCAAAGCTGCTTGGGCCTCCTGGGGCCAGGCAGTTTAAATGGAAACAAGGGAGAGCACCAACCCCCAGAGATAAGCCAATAAACGCAACCTGCAAAAGGAGAGAACAGGCAGCAAGAGAAGCGGAGGGAACCCGGGGGGCCTGGAGAGAGAGGCGAGTGTGCAGCAGCCAGGCTGTGGAGCAGAACGGGAGAGGCCGAAGGCTGCGGGCTGGAGAAAAAGGAGGAACTTGCTGGGGGGCTACTGTTCCTGGCAGAGAGAAAGGAGGCCTCTGGAGGTCAGAGAGAGACACAAAGAGAGCAGACAGAGCGAGGGTCAGTGAAAAGGCCAGCACACAGGTGCCCGGGCCCTCTTGGGTCAGGGGGCGTGGGTGCCCAGGCCCTGGCGCTCCCCCCATGAAGGCAGCCTGCTCCCCACGCCTTCTCAGGATGCCTGCGCGGGTATCCTGGCGCTTCCAGGCAGGGAGCCAGCTCTGGGCCTTCTTCCATTGGCCTGGGACGCTGTGCTGCATTTCAGAGAGAGCCATCAGGAGCAGAAGCAACATGCGGGGAGGATGAGCAGGGACGGAGGCTCCACCATGACACTCTCAGCCCCAGCATCTGCTCAGCCCAGTCACCACACTGGAGAGGGAGGAGGCCCTTCAGACCCCGCAGGCCTCTGCATCCTGGGAGTTCTGCCTCTGACTCCCTTCCTGCAATCATCAGAGGGAAGCTGGCCAGGGCTGGCCAAGCCCCTGCGCAGGAACGGGGCCTAGGTGGGGTGCAGGCAGGAAGACCTCTGCCTGCCCCGCTCCCTGGGCACTTCCCCGGATGCTGTACACCACAGGTCAGGGATCGACACTGTCTTTTGAAAAACATATTTAGAGACAGGATCTCACCCTGTCACCCAGACTGGTCTCAAACTCATGGCCTCAAACGATCCTCCCGCTGTGGCGTCCCAAAGTGCTGGGATTATGGGTGTGAGCCACGGCGCCCAGCCCCAAACCTTCTTGATTCTGGACTTTGTAAGATGAAGGCCTGAGTGAAGAGGTGGGGAGGAGCTAAGCAGAGGAGCCCTACCCAGCCTGGACCACCCTGGGGCACGCACTCTGCGTCCACCTGACCTGGACGTGCCTCCTAAGGCTGGTAGCGAAGCCCGGGAGCAGAGCCCACGGATGGGCCCTGCAGGTGCTGGGCCGAGACCGACAGACAGGCCTGGCCACTCAGGGCCACGCCGCCGCTGTGCCGCGCCTGCCCCCTCCCCGCCCGCCACCCCCGCCACTGGGGCAGGGACAGCGGGCCCAGGTCTGACCTCGGGTCTCGGGCACTGTCGACGTGGGCAGAGACACGGCCGCAGGGTCCTGGGGCTCGCTCGCTAGCCTCTGCCCGGCACACATGGACTTGAGCATCTGGAAGACGGCGAGGGGGGCCACGTTCAGCTTCAGCAGGTCCACCAGGATCCTGGCGGGGACAGACGCGGGGCCGGTGAGCCCTCTCCGCCTGGCGCGGCCACCTCCCTGAAGACCCGACAAGGACGGGGACAGGGGCGCGGGGGGCTCCTCCCGACCAGTGGGACCGGGGGACCCGGAGAGCAGAGGTCGGGGTGTCTGGCGAGGATGCGGCCCCCTCCCGCCCCGCTCACTTGAACACGTCGGGGTCAATGGCGCCGCCCGCCGCCTGCGCCAGCTCGTACAGCTCCATCTCCTCGGTGCTCAGCACCTTCTTCCGCCGCAGCACCAGCTTCTGCCGGGCCGCCTCCAACCCCGCGGGCGCCCCGGACCCCGGCCCAGGCCCTGCGCCCGGCGCCGCCATCCGCGCGGCCCGAGAAAAGGTGCGCCCCCGCCGCGCCCCCTAGTGGCTCCGCCCACCGCGCTCTCCCTGCAGCGCCAGCGTCCTGCCTCCCAGGCGACCCCGGCGGGAGCGGCGGGAGCGGCGGGAGGGCGGGCCGGGGACGGGGCCGCCTCCGCGGCGTCATTGGAATCTAACAGTTACTGGGCGCTCCAAGTGTGCTGAGCGGCGCGCTAGGGGCCGGGGGTGGCATGGTGGACTGCAGGGGCCCGCTGCTTGGCGGTCAGGGCCTCCCTGATAGACTGCATTGATCGTGCTCGCTTAGGGCACCCGGCCCAGTGCTAGGCATATATTGGGCGCTCAGTAAATGCCTCTTACAATGAAGTGTGCAATTTTCTGGTCCGCGCCGGTGCACCGCTAGGAGTCGCTCTTCGGGGGGGGGGGCACTAATCAACGACCTGTTTACGCGCACGCGCATTCCTTGCGGGGGAGAAATTGCGTGAGCCCTACCTCGAGGCGCCGGAGGCCACCACAACGCAGGCGCATTCAGCTGCGGACCACCCCCTCCCCCCGCACTCCTGCCTCGCCACTTCCCGTCCTCGCCCGGCAGGCCTTCGCTTTGCGCACGCGCCGTGTGAGGTAACGGCCCAGAGAGGTAGAGACACTTTTCCCGCCCGGCCGCGGGGCGTGGCTCTGCGCGCAGCTTGATGACGAAGTTTCGGCGCCGTGGCGGAATGGCGGCTTCTACCTCTGAGGCGGGCGACGCTATGGGTCCCACAGGTGAGTGGGGCGGAACGCGCGCGTGAGACAGTCCGGCGCCCTGGGGCCTTCCCCGAGCCGCTGCGGAGGCCATGTCCGTTCCTCCGCGAGGCCCAGGACTCTGGCCGGCCTGGCGGCTTTGCCCAGGCCGGGCAGGCTGGGGAGTGGAGAGCCCCGGCTGAGTCTTCCTGCCACCCCCCGGGCCATGCCTTTGTGTCACCTTCCCTCGCGGCTCCTGCACTCTGTCCTAGTCCGGTAGGTGTTCGTTGAAAGTTAACTTTCCTTGAAGGAATTGAGGGAAGGAGAACTTTGTGTTGAAGTTGAGCCTTGGGTTTAACAGGTGGTGTGGGAGGAACAGCCAGGTGTGGGTCCCAGCTCGACCCTTCCCATGTGTGCTCGACTTCTCCCAGCCTTAGTTTCGGAGGGTCCCGAAGCCCAGTTGGCGGGAGAGTTGGGAACAGGTGGGCGCGTGCTGCTGAGGGAGATCTTGGCCTGACAGAATTTGCTTGGAATGATTGGCATTGCCCAAGGGTTGTCGTTCTCAGGAAAACAAAACAAAAAAGACGGGGTCCGAAGCAGCTCCTGGAGAAAATAGGTGTTGGAGAGGCGCGATGAAGCGGACGCTAGATGCATGGCAGGCAGAGACCTGTGACGGGGGAGGGTGGCTATGGCAGGGTCAGAGAACAGGGGTGTGGGAGACACTTCTTGGGAATTCCCGGGTTGGAATATCCTCTCTTGGAAATTTCCTAGAAATTCTTCTGGGCCTCATTCTTTCAGTCGCTGCCCATGAAAGCTTCTTCTGAGCAGAGATGCTCTCCACTTCATCATCCGCTAGAGCTCCGCGCTTATCCAACAGTCCACAGCTGCTTTGATCATTTTGCAGTAGTGCAGTGTTTTCTTGATCAAGTGCCTTAGGGCCGAGGCGTTTTTCTTTAACACTGCAATTGATAGCTAGGTTAAGAATTGAGGCCGGGCTCGGTGGCTCACACCTGTAATCCCAGCACTTTTGGAGACCGACGCGGGTGGATCACGAGGTCAGAAGTTCAAGACCAGCCTGGCCAAGATGGTGAAACCTCGTCTCTACTAAAAAATACAAAAATTAGCCGGGCGTGGTAGTGGGCCCCTGTAATCCCAGCTACTTGGGTGGCTGAGACAGAGAATTGCTTGAACCTGAGAGGCGGAGGTTGCAGTGAGCTGAGATGGCGCCACTGCACTCCAGCCTGGGTGACAGAGCGCAGAGGGAGACTCCGTGTCAAAAAAACAAAAAAAAGAAAAGAATAAAAGCGGCGGGGCACGGTGGCTCACGTCTGTAATCCCAGCACTTTGGGAGGCCAAGGCGGGTGGATCACGAGGTCAGGAGTTCGAGACCAGTCTGGCCAACATAGTGAAACCCCGTCTTGACTAAAAATGCAAAAATTAACTGGGTGTGATGGCATGTGCCTGTAATCCCAACTACTCTCGAGGCTGAGACAGGAGAATTGCTTGAACCAGGGAGTTGGAGGTTGCAGTGAGCCGAGATCACGCCAGGGGACTCCAGCTTGGCCACGGAGCGAGACTCCATCTCAAAAAAGAATTGAAAAAGCCTGCACTTTGGGAGGCTGAGGCAGTGGATCACTTGAGGTCAGGAATTTGAGATCAACCTGGCCACCATAGGGAAACCCGCCTCTACTAAAAATAGAAAAATTAGCCAACCTTGGTGTCAGGCTCCTGTAATCCCAGCTACTCGGGAGGCTGAAGCACTAGAACCTTTTGAACTTTGGAAGTGGAGGTTGCAGTGAGATGATAGAGTGAGACTGTCAAAAAAATAAAATAAAATAAAGGCTGGCGCAGTGGCTGACGCCTGTAATCCCACCACTTTGGGAGACCGAGGCGGGCAGGTCATGAGGTCAGGAGATTGAGACCATCCTGGCTAACACGGTGAAACCCAGTCTCTACTAAAAATACAAAAAAATTAGCTGGGCGTAGTGGCGGGGACCTGCAGTCCCAACTACTCAGGAGGCTGAAGTAGGAGAATGGGGAGAACCCGGGAGGCGGAGCTTGCAGTGAGCTGAGATCAGGCCACTGGACTACAGCCTGGGCGACAGAGTGAGACTCTGTCTCAAAAAAAAAAAAAAAAATTGAAAAATCTTGTGAGATATTCCTATTGCCAAGTGGCACAAAGGCAGAGATTCCTGTCTCCTCTCACTCTGCAACTGCCTACATGGCCTCTTTACACCCAGCCTTTCTTCCTCCACAGACTGCCAGGTGCCACCCCAGTGCCTTTACTTGTGCAGTGGGCAGAGCTGGGCCAGGAAAACTGTAACTAGCCCACCAGTGGGACTTGGCAGACTTCCTGTCTGTGAAGTCTAGATCTGAGCATTTTTCATTTCTGACCTCAGTGGGCTGAGAGGTGGGAATTTGGAAAGCTGGTCTTAGTTTTCTTTCTTTTTTTTTTCATTTTTTGAGACAGAGTTTCCCTCTGTCACCCCGGCTAGGGTGCAGTGATGCAATCTTGGCTCACTGCAACCTCCGCCTCCTGGTCTCAAGCATTTCTCATGCCTCAGCCTCCCGAGTTGCTGGGATTACAGGTGCCCACCACCACACCTGGCTAATTTTTGTATTTTTAGTAGAGATGGGGTTTTGCCATGTTGGCCAGACTTGTCTCGAGCTCCTGGCCTCAAGTAATGTGCCCACCGTGGCCTCCCAAAGTGCTGGGATTACAGGCATGAGCCACGGTGCCCAGCCTTTGATCCTAGTTTTCTGATGGTTTATTCAAAGGCTCCCTTGGCAGAGCTTGCTCTTAGCCTCCATTCATTGCATAGCGCACAGGTAATATGGAGGGGATTTGCCCCTGTCTCAGAGTTTTGTGAGGCGGTCTTTGTATTGGAATCTTGGTTCTGCCACTTAGTAGCTGGGTGGGGGTGAGTGAGTTATCCCATATCTGCCTCTCCTTCATCATCTGTACTGACCTGCAGTCATAGTACATCTGTACCCATAGGGTTGTTGTGAGGGTGGTTTTTCTGTTCTTGTATGACGAACTTAGCAGCTTAAACCAGCACCTGTTATTATCTCATAGTTATGTATGCAGAAGTCCAGGCAGGCTCAGCTGTGCATTACAAGACTAAAATCAAGGTGTTGGCAGCTTTGCTCTTACCTGGAAACTCTAGGGAAGAAGCTGCTTCCAGGTTTATTTGGGTTGCTGGTAGAATCCAGTTCTTTGGAGTTGTAGAACTAGGGTCTTTGTTTCCTTGCTGGCTGTCAGCTGGGGACTACTCTGTAACTTCAGGTCCACTAACTTAAGACTCTTAATTGTATGTGCAAAATGCCGTCACAGCAGCACCTAGATGAGTATTTGATTGAACAAACGGGTCAGGAATCTTGGGCTGCTATCTTTAGAATTTTGCTTACCACTGAGGATTAAATGAGGAGATATAGAGAGAGCACTTAGAGTGAGTCCTGGTATATGACAAATGCTGTACGAGCATTACCAAGAATTCAGCACCACAACTTGGCTCTGAAGCTGGCCACTGTGGGCTGCAGAACAGTGTTTCTTTTTTTTTTTTTTTTTTTTGAGACGGAGTCTTGCTCAGCCTCCCAGGCTGGAGTGCAGTGGTGTGATCTCAGCTCACTGCAACCACCTTCTCTCGGGTTCAAGTGATTCTCTGGTCTCAGCCTCCTGAATAGCTGGGATTATAGGCACCTGCCATCATGCCTGGCTAATTTTTGTATTTTCGTAGAGACAGGGTTTCACCATGCTGGGCAGGCTGGTCTTGAGCTCCTGACCTCAGGTGATCCTCCCGCCTCAGCCTCCCAAAGTACTAGGATTACAGGCAGGAGCCACTGCACCCAGCTGAGAACAGCGTTTCCATAAAAGATGGGAATTGCTGGCCGGGCGTGGTGGCTCACACCTGTAATCCCAGCGCTTTGGGAGGCTGAGGTGGATAGATCACTTGAGTCTGGGAGTTCAAGAGCAGTCTGAGCAACATGATGAAACCCCCATCTTTACAAAAAGTACAAAAATTAGCTGGGCTTGGTGATGTTTGCCTGCAGTCCCTGCTAGTTGGGAAGCTGACGCAGGAGGATTACTTGAGCTCAGGAATTTGAGGTTGCAATGAGCTGTGATCACACCACTGTACTGCAGCCTGAGCGACCAAGCAAGACCCTGTCTCTAATCAGTAAATAAGACATGAGAATTGGTAATGTAATGTGTGTTGCGTTACACAGATATTCTCCTGGGCATTATGAAACTATGTAATATTTTATTAGGGCCAGGTGCAGTGACTCACACCTGTAACCCCAACACTTAGGAGGCCAAAGCAGGAGGATCAGTGGAGGCCAGGATCCTGGGCATCATAGCCTGACAAACTAGCCTGGGCAACATAGTGAGACCCTGTCTCTAAAAAGAGAAAAGAAGAAAATTAGCCGGGCATAGTGGCATGTGCCTGTACTCAGAAGCCTGAGGTGGGAGGATTGCTTGAACCCGCGAGTTTGAGGTTGCAGTCAGCTATGATTGTGCTGCCGCATTCTAGCCTGGGCAACAGAATGAGACCCTGTCTCTCAAAAACTAATATAAAAAGATTCTGCTGTGTTGCAGATGTTGAGATTTTTGTCCTTGTTTTTCCACAGTGGCTTGCTAAGAAGCCCGTTTTCAACTCTCCACTGGAGGCTGCTATGGCGTTCCCTCACCTCCAGCAGCCCAGCTTTCTACTGGTAAGTATCAACTGCTTGCATGAGTGTCAGTGTGGCCATAGTTCTGTAGCTGTGGGACTTGAGTGTTCTTCCCACTGACTTGAAGAACTCTGTAGTGGTTGTTTTTTAGGGGTATGTGATGGAAACAATGCCAGACTCCTTAAGCTTGACTGTGCCTCCTTATTACTACAGGACCTTGGGGTTACGCACCCTCTGTGCTCTGGGTTTTCTCATACAAGACAAGTTCATTCAAATTCTATTTTCTCTACTTCCCAAGGGTATGAGGAGGAGGAGGAGCAAGTGAGAAGGATGCATATCAGAATGTTCATGACCTGTAAATTCTTAAATAGATACGAAGCATTCTAATAATCAGTCATAACAGTCACCAGTGAAAAATGGAGACACTGTTGTGCTGGGGGCTGCTAGGTTGCACTTTAAGTATTAAACATGATGCTGAGAACTGGTTACAGTAGCTCATGCCTGGAGTTCCAGCTACTGAGGAGACTGATGCAGGAAGATTACTTGAGCCCAAGAGTTTGAGACCAGCGTGGGCAACATGGTAGACTGAAAAAGAACAGAAAAAAAAATGATACTGAGAAGTGAGAAGTTAGGTATGAGGCAAGTATTGGCGATGAAAGTTCCTAATTTTAGTTCTTCGGAGGTGTTTTTGTAAACATTTATGTGGAAGGACGTTCTTCCTCAGTGCACCCCACTAGAGTCAGCAGGTCTGGCCCATGGCTCAGGTCTCTCTCAAGTGCTGTGAAATCCACCCTCGTTTGGAGGTAGACAAGGCCTTAGATGTCCTTTGGCAGAACACTCTAGGTTGAAATTCTAGCCGTTTCTCCTGATCTTAATCTATTTGCACAGATGCCCTTTTTCTCCTTGTAGTCAGGGTGCTTTCCTCACATCCCATGACTAGGTAGATTTCATTAGTCCTTGTCCTGAGTCTTTTCTGCTCTCTCCATTGCCTTCATGATTAGTGTCTACTTGGCTGAAGCCATCTATAATTTTTGTCTGCCCTGTGTTTTAAGATAATTAGTTTAGTGGATTTACTGTCTACTGAATAAAGAACAGCTCATTTAAGAGAGCTTCTGCCATATCCCTAATGTTACTGGGCGTTCTTATTGGTGATCACAATGGTGTCGTCATGGTGGTCCATCAGGTTGGAAATTTCCAGTTGATGTGTACAAACTCAGTGGTACTCTGGTTTGTAAGGGGTGCCCTTACACAATCAAGATCCTCTTCTGGCTCTGGGGCCAGCCCTGCTTAAGAATTGGCAGAAGTCAGTCCCCTTACACAATCAAGATCCTCTTCTGGCTCTGGGGCCGGCTCTGGGGCCAGCCCTGCTTAAGGATTGGCAGAAGTCAGTCCTGTTCTGACCATGTGCAGCCCTCTGAGGGGCACTGGGAAACAAGCCCGACAGTTCCGGGTCCAGAGAGCGTCGAACTGTGGCCTCTCCTAGTAGGACTCTTTGGGCCACTGATGCACATGAGAGGCTGGGGAAGCAGGCCAGTGATTATGTGTCTGACTCAACCTATTGCTTGGATTTCTATTTGACTCAAGCTAGAGTATCACGAAAAGCTGCAGAGTGAATGTCCTCGTGATTTTTTTGCTTTGTTCTATCTCCTAGGCTAGCCTGAAAGCTGACTCTATAAATAAGCCCTTTGCACAGCAATGCCAAGACTTGGTTAAAGTCATTGAGGATTTTCCAGCAAAGGTACAGCTCTGCTAATGTCTCTCTTTGGAGCATGTCTTATACATTCCTTGAAGAACTTTATTATAATTCCTAATTTCCCTCCCTGCCCCAACCCCAAGCACTGCCTGGCACAGAGTGCTGGCCCTTATCATGACCATTATGTTATAGACGCATTTAAACATGTGAACTTATAGATCAGGGGTTCTCAGCCACAGGTGCTCTGTCCCTCAGGGGACACTTGGCAATGTCAGAGACATTTTTGGTTGTCACATCTGGAGATAGATGGGGAGTGTGTGCTACTGGCATCTAGGAAGTAGAGGCCAGGGTTGCTGGAAACATCCTGCAAAGCACAGGACAGCTCCCTGCGGCAAAGAAGTATCTAGCCCAAAATGTCAATAGCACCAAGGTTGAGAAACCCTGATGTAAATGCAAAAATATGTATTTAAATCACACCTGGAATTGTCAAGCCCAGGAAGCCGGCCTAGGCAAGGAGTTCGTACCAAATGGCAATAGGTGGTCAGTTTGGTTTTAGGGGCTTCACTCTGGGAAGGATGTTGCTTTCCTTTCTGATAGAGCGTCCTTCAAGTCAGAAATTTCCAACACTTTCTAAAGAATCTTTTGGGGTGGTGACTCATGCCTGTAATCTCAACACTTTGGTAGGCCGAGGTGGGAGGATCACTTAAGCCCAGGAGCTCAAAACCAGTCTAGGAACATACTGAGAACCTATCTCTACAAGAAATTTAAAAATTAGCTGAGTGTGGTGGTGTGTGCCTACTCAGGACACTGAGGTGGGAGGATTGCTGGAGCCCAGGAAGTCAAGGCTGCAGTGAGCCATGATTGCATCACTGCACTCCAGCCAGAGCAACAGAGTGAGACCTTGTCTCAAAACATATGTATTTTATTTATTTATTTTATTTTATTTTTAATTTTCTTCATTGTTTCTGTTCATTTTTTGTTTTTTTCTTAATTTAGTCTTGTATCACACACACAAAATGTGTTTTGATGGGAGGCTGACTTACTTAACTGGCCCAAGTCTAAAGCGGCGCTGCTTGGTATGCCACGTACCCCACTGGAAGAACCCAAAGCTGCTCTTGTTGTTGGCACCAGGATTCCTTTGGGTGCAGGACTGATCCCATAGGTCTCAGCCAGGGAGTGGCCTCCTCAGGGGGAGCTAGGCAGCAGGTAGTGCAGGACTAGAGCTGTGGCAGGAGTGGGTGCTGGTCCTGCCCGCAGCCTCACCACACATTGTTTCAGGAGCTGCACACCATCTTCCCATGGCTGGTAGAGAGCATTTTTGGCAGCCTAGATGGTGTCCTCATTGGCTGGAACCTCCGCTGCTTACAAGGGCGTGTGAATCCTGTGGAGTACAGCATCGTGATGGAATTTCTTGACCCTGGGTAGGTAGATTCGTCACTGGAGAGAGGCTGGGTGATTCCTCATGGTGATTCCACCTTTAAACCACTATCTGAATTTTTTACAATTGAGAAGCAATCAAAGCAGGATAATTTGCAGCTCATTTGCTTTTTTGTGTGTTTGTTCAATTTCATGTTCAGTGGCCCGATGATGAAGTTGGTTTATAAGCTTCAAGCTGAAGACTATAAGTTTGACTTTCCTGTCTCCTACCTGCCCGTAAGTAAACCACAGTGGCGAGAGCGGTGCTCGGGGCAGTGGGCCTTGCACAGCCCTGTGGTGGTGATGGGCAATCTCCTCCAGTCCTCTGAGGGCAAATTGAGGAGTGGCTTGTTCCCGGGGTATGAGAGGCAAAGGAAATGGGTATTGCATGGCTGCTACCCTTGCTGTCTGTAGCTTTTTATGAGATGGTAGGAGAAGTTCTAAGCAAAGACTCTTGTTCAGGCATTGCTGAGAGGCAGGGCACTGTCCCCACAGATGGGTTCTGTGTGTGGGTCTCTTCCCCAGTGGCCTTCCCAAAGTGCTGCTGTGCATGTGGGGCACTGCGTATCGGGCACTGCGCACCAGCACCTGCCCACAAGCCTCACTGCCTCTCTCTGCAGGGTCCTGTGAAGGCGTCCATCCAGGAGTGCATCCTCCCTGACAGTCCCCTGTACCACAACAAGGTCCAGTTCACCCCTACTGGGGGCCTTGGCCTGAACCTGGCCCTGAGTATCCTTTGGTGGCCCTGAGGTAGGGAGGCTGTGGGTGGCCCAGCACTTGACACTGTGGGGGTTGCTCATCAACCCTGCTTGTTTGCCCCTGACGCTGCCCTCAGATCCGTTCGAGTATTACATATTCTTCTTTGCCCTGAGCCTCATCACTCAAAAGGTAGGGAAGGGATGCCTTTAGCTGGGAGAGGTGGGACCATGGCCCAGGGCTTCCCTGCACTTGTTGGCCAGGCAGCATCCGGAGCCCATGCTAACAACTAGCTTGGTTTTCCAGCCACTCCCTGTGTCCCTCCACGTCCGTACTTCAGACTGTGCCTATTTCATCCTGGTGGACAGGTACCTGTCGTGGTTCCTGCCCACTGAAGGCAGTGTGCCCCCGCCACTCTCCTCCAGCCCAGGCGGGACCAGCCCCTCACCACCTCCCAGGTAAGGCTGCCCTTTGTTAAGACCTGGCTCTTCCATAACGGAGTGGCCTGGTCAGTTGCATCGCCCACGGGGACTATGTTGTCACCCTTTGTCCAGGGTTCCCCGATTTTTCTTATGCCTCATTCCCCACCCCTAGCTGTCTTAGCACAGATGGGGGCGTGTGTGGAGGGCAGTCTTTCCTTAGTTTTCAGTGTCATCACTGAAGCTATCAGGTCCCTGGAGGCCTCCCTGGCCTTCATGGGAATGTGTTGTGTTGTGCGTGGAGCAGCCCTCCCCACAGGCAGTGTCTGAACCGGGGAGCAGGGTGGAAAGGTTGTCCTATGAGCAAAAAACATGGAAATCTCTACGGGCCCCAGGAGCAGGTCGAAGGGGAGGCCCTGGGCCAAAGAGCCTGTTGTGCCAGTCCAAACACGCTGAGCCTGATGCCCTCCTGCACAGGTAGGGAGTGTAAACCAGGGGCTCTCATGCCTGGCTGTCTTGGGTCCTCAGTGGGCCCTAACGCAGGGCCTCTTGGCCGACTCCCCAGGAGACCCTCTTGCCCCTGAAGCAGCTGCCTATGCACCTCTGACCCTCCTTAATCTCACTGGCCCGTCGCCTTCCCTGGGAAGCTGCATGCAGGCCCCTTCCTGCAGATGCTGGCCCACCCCAGATCTGCTGGCATATGCAAGGCAGGCCAGGCCTTTACCTGCAATTCACACATGTGGACAGATTCCCCAGAGGGTAGAGGGGAGAAAGAGAGTGGCAGGGAGGAGACGCTGCCCGGTTGGCGGCAGTGATCAGTGACCCTGAAATGTTGCTGATCCTGTGGAGGACTTGGAGGCGAGGCAGATTCACACCCTCTCAGATGCACAGTCCAGCTGCCAAGCGCTTTTTCATGCCTTGTTTTAACTTTTTGGGTTTTTTAATTTAATTTTTTCTTTTAGAAATTATATATGTAGGCTGGGAGCGGTGGCTCACACCTGTAATCCCAGCACTTTGGGAGGCCGAGGCGGAGGGATCGCCTAAGATCAGGAATTCGAGACCTCCCTGGCCAATACGGTGTAACCTCGTCTCTACTAAAAGTACAAAAATTAGCTGGGCATGGTGGCAGGTGCCTGTAATCCCAGCTACTCGGGAGGCGGAGGCGGGAGAATCACTTGAACCCAGGAGACGGAGGTTATGGTGAGCTGAGGTCGCACCACTGCACAAAAAAGAAAAAAAAAGTATATGTATGGTTTGAGTTTTTTTTCTTTGGAGACGGAGTCTCACTCTGTTGTCCATGTTGGAGTGGTGCAGTGGCACAATCTCGGCTCACTGCAACCTCCGCCTCCTGGGTTCAAGCGATTCTCCCGCCTCAGCCTCACGAGTAGCTGGGATTACAAGCACAGGTCAGCATGCCCTGTTATTTTTTGTATTTTTTTGTGGAAACAGTTTCACCTGTTGGCCAGGCTGACCTCAAACTCCTGACCTCAGGCAATCCGTCTGCCTCGGCCTCAGACAAAGTGCTGGGATTACAGGTGTGAGCTACTGTGCCCAGCCTTTTTTAAAATTTAATTTAATTTAATTTAATTTTTTTTGAGACAGTGTCTGGCTTGGTTGTCCAAGCTGGAGTGCAGTGTTGTGATCACAGCTCACTGCAATGTTGACCTCCTGAGCTCAAGTGATCCTCCCACTTCAACCTGCCAAGTAGCTGGTACTGTAAGCATGCACCCCCACACCCAGCTTTTATTTTATATTTTTGTAAGATGGGTCTTGCTATGTTGCCCAGGCTGCTCTAGAACTCCTGGGCTCAAGCCATCTTCCTGCCTCAGCCTTCCAAAGTTCAGGGATTACAGGCATGAACCACCACACTGGTCCATTGCGGGGTTTTTTTTTGTTTTTGTTTTTGACAGGGTCTTGCTCTAGTTGCCCAGGCTGGAGTGCCGTGGTGCTGTCTCTGCTTCTAGTGATTCTCCTGGCTCAGCCTCCCGAGTAGCTGGGACTACAGGTGCCTGTCACCACGCCCAGCTAATTTTTATATCTTTAGTAGAGACAGGGTTTCACCATATTGACCAGGCTGGTCTTGAACTCCTGACCACAAGTGATCTGCCTGCTTTTACCCCCTAAAGTGCTGGGATTACAGGTGTGAGCCACCACTCCTGGCCTAGCCATTATGTATTTTTAAAGACGGTCTTACTCTGTCACACAGGCTGGAGTACAGTGTCACAGTCATCACTTGGTGGCGCAATCATCACTCAAGCCAGCCTGTCACCTCAGTGACTACAAGCACGCGTCACCACAGCCAGCTAATTAAAAAAAATTTTTTTTTTTCTTGCAGAGATATGAGGATGCCTCACTGTGTTGCCCAGGCTGGTCTTGAACTCCTGGCTTTAGCGGTCTTCCTGCCTCAGCTTCCCAAGTAGCTGGAATTACAGGTGCAAGCCACCACACCTAAGTTTTTATTTTGGAATAACTTCAGACTTACAGAAAAGTTTCCATGCATGATAAAAATAACTTGCAGGCCGAGCACGGTGGCTCACGCCTGTAATCCCAACACTTTGGGAGGCCAACGTGGGAGGATCGCTTGGGACCAGGAATTCGAGACCAGCGTGGGCAACGTCGGGAGACCTCATTTCTACAAAAAATAAAATTAGCCAAGTGTGGTGATGTGCAGCTGTGGTCCTAGCTACTCAGGTGGCTACCTCAGGAGCCTGAGGTGGGAGGATCACTTGTGCCCAGGAGCAGTGAGCTGTGAGCTGTGAGTGTGCCACTGCACTCTAGCCTGGGGTAACAGAACAAGATCCTGTCTCGGAAAAAAAAAAAAGAAACTTTCATAGACCCTTCACCCAGATTTCCAAATTGTTAACACTGTGCTGCATCTGTTGTTTTCGACCTCTATTGTATGTGTTTTTCTCTCTAAGCCAATATGAGTAAGCTAAAGGATATGACACCGCTTGACCTCTTAATATTTCAGTGTATTTCCTAGAAGCGAATGCATTATCCTATATAGTCACAGTGCCTATAACCACACCAGAAAGTTAGTATTGCCACCAGGCCACACATTGTGTGCAGTGATGCCTCACAGGCTCACCCACTGTATGCAGTGATATTTCTAGTCCCCTTCAGTCAGGAATGGTCCCTTGCCTTTCTGTCTTTCCTGACCTTGACCCCTCCAGAGCACGCAGCCACCCCTTATGCTGTCTGGTATTTGCTGGTGACTAGGCCTAGCACAGGCTTTGTTGGCAGGAGCACCGTAGTGGGACACCTGGTCCTTGCCAAGTGCCCTTTATCAGCGGGTGAAAAAGGTGTCGGTCAGGTTTTTCCACTGTAAAATAATTACTTTGTGCCCAGATTAAAGAGGAATGAGGCTGAGCACCGTGGCTCATACCTGTAATCCCAGCACTTTGAGAGGCTGAGGTGGGCGGATCACTGGAGCTCAGGAGTGTGAAATCAGCCCAGGCAATGTAGCAAAATCCCATTTCTACCAAAAATTTAAAAATGAGCCAGGCGCGGTGGCGTGCGCTTATAATCTCAGCTACTTGAGAGACTGGGGTGGGAGGATTGCTTGTACCCAGGAGGCGGAGGTGGCATTGAGCCAAGATCATGCCCGTATACTCCAGCTTGGGCTACAGAGTGAGATCATATCTCAAAAACAAACAAAAAAACATCAGTAGTGAGAGCCTGGGCAACATAGCACAAAACTGTTTTAGCCAGCCGGACACAGTGGCTCACGCCTGTAATCCGCAGCACTTTGGGAGGCCGAGGTGGGCAGATCACCTGAGGTCGGGAGTTTGAGACCAGCTTGGCCAATATGGTGAAACCACATCTCTACTAAAAATATAAAAATTGGCCAGCCATGGTGGCACATGCCTGCAGTCCCGGCTACTCGGGAGGCTGAGGCAGGAGAATCGCTTGAATCCAGGAGGTGGAGGCTGCAGTAAGCTGAGATCGTGCCGTTGCACTCCAGCCAGGCATGGTGGTGTTGGTCCCAGCTACTTGGGAGGCCTAAGTCTAGGAGGTTGAGGTTGCAGTGAGCTGTGATTGCATCATTGCACTCCAGCCTGGGCAACAGGATAAGATCCTGTCTCAAAAAAAAAAAAAAATTTGATAACGAGGATTTACCAGAAAGATGTATGGAGACTATGTAATTATCACTAGTATTAACATCCACTTTTGATTCTCCCCTTTTTTCAAATTGATTTTATTTGCAAACAAGGTCTTATTCTCTTACCCCAGGCTGGAGGGCAGTGGTACGATCTCTGCTCACAGCAGCCTCAACCTCCTGGGCTCAAGTGATCCTCCCATCTCAACCCCCCAAGTGTCTGGGACTACAGGCAGGCATACCACTCCTGGCTAATTTTTGTGTTTTTTTGTGGAGACAGGGTTTTGCCATGTTGCCCAGGCTGGAAATTTCTTAATTTTTTAGAAACAGGGTCTTGCTCTGTCACCCCAGGCTGGCGTGAAGTTGGCATGATCATTTGTCACTATAGCCTCAACTTGTGGGCCCAGGCCATTCTTCCTCCTCAGCCTTCTAAGTAGCTAGGACTACCGGCACCTGCCACCAGGCCCTGCTGTTTTATGTTTCAATGTTTTTGTGGAGATGGATTCTCACTTTGTTACCCAGGCTGATCTCAAATGCCTGGCCTCAAGAAATCCTCCTGCCTTGGTCTCCCAAGGTGCTGGGATTACCGGTGTGAGCCCCCGTGCCCAACCTCGCTGTTGAGGTTGACCAAATTAGCTATTAATAGGGCAGTTACCAAATGGTGGTTCTCTAATTTCATCCCTCCTTCATTGATTAGTGGGTCAGTGGTCACTGTGGTAAGGAGGACTTCTCTCTGTGCTATTGATTTATTCAGGTATATCAGTGTGATCGGGGCTGGGGGAGGGGCATTGTGCTATTGAGCAACTTGTAATCTGTCCCTGCTCTCCTTGATTTTGAGATCCAGATTGCCCCTGGCTAGGCCAGCAGGAGCCTGTAACTCGGGCCTATTTCTGTGTCTCCCTCAGGACACCAGCCATGCCCTTTGCTTCCTATGGCCTCCACCACACTAGCCTCCTGAAGCGACACATCTCTCATCAGACGTCTGTGAATGCAGACCCCGCCTCCCACGAGATCTGGAGGTCAGAAACTCTGCTCCAGGTGAGAGTCGAGCTGGTCAAAAGAAACTGTTCAGCCAGCCAGGCGCAGTGGCTCACGCCTATAATCCCCAGCACTTTGGGAGGCCGAGGTGGGCAGTTCACCTGAAGTCAGGAGTTTGAGACAACCTGGTCAACATGGTGAAACCACGTCTCTACTAAAAATACAAAAATTGGGCCGGGCGCGGTGGCTCACGCCTGTAAACCCAGCACTTTGGGAGGCCGAGGCGGGCGGATCACAAGGTCAGGAGATCGAGACCACGGTGAAACCCCGTCTCTACTAAAAATACAAAAAATTAGCCGGGCGCGGTGGCGGGCGCCTGTAGTCCCAGCTACTCAGGAGGCTGAGGCAGGAGAATGGCGTAAACCCAGGAGGCGGAGCTTGCAGTGAGCCGAGATCGCGCCACTGCACTCCAGCCTGGGCGACAGAGCGAGACTCCGTCTCAAAAAACAAAAAAAAAAACAAAACAACAACAACAACAACAAAAATACAAAAATTGGCCAGCCATGGTGGCACATGCCTGCAGTCCCAGCTACTCAGGAGGCTGAGGCAGGAGAATGGCGTAAACCCAGGAGGCAGAGCTTGCAGTGAGCTGAGATCTGGCCACTGCACTCCACCCTGGGTGACCAAACTAGACTCCATCTCAAAAAAAAAAAAAAAAAGAGAAAAAAGAAACTGTTTAGCCACCTTCCACTATGTGGGACAGAGTCCCAGAGATGGCCCCTCAGCCTGGGGCTGATTTTAAATTGTTGGTATTTTGCTGCTATGACGATTTAGAAAACATGAAAATAGATCTACCCACCCTTCTAACTTACATGTCATTGATGGTGTTTTTCATCCCAGAACCCCCTGTTCATGGAAGTGTTTTGTTTTGCCTGCGGTGATATGATTGTCGCAGAGTCTTTTGGTTTCCGCCTCCCGTGTTGTTGGAGATGTTTCCTGTGATTACCATTATGTGGATATTAAGCCCTGCCCCAGTAGCATTTTTATGACACTGAATGGTGAGGGGTCTGTGCAGCCTTCACAGACCTTCCATTGATTCAGGGGATCCAAGTAGTAGGTGACAGATTTCCTTGTCTGCCCAGAGGGGCTCCAGCCTGTCAGGATAGTATGGGCTGGCTCGCTCACTGAGTGCTGGCCAGCTCCCAGGTCCTGGCTGTGTCTTCTAGGCACACATCAGAGAGCTTCAGCAGGTGCTGCTTGTGACGCTGGATCCCGGGGCTGACTTGGTAGCCACAGCCTTGCTGTTGACAGCCTGGCCTGTAGATAAGATAGGATTCCGTCTTCCACCTTCTATATAACTCCTAGTATTTGGAGTGCTGTGCTTTTTGAAGCCTCCACACCATTTCACAGCATCCTCGCAGGGTGGAATGGTAAGAGCCGTTGCCCCTGTTCACAGAGGGGACTGTGATGCCCAGCTGACTCTTGGCTGTGTGGACTGTGGGCTGTGCTGGCCATGAAGAGGGCAGGAGATGGTGACACAGGGCTTATAGGGCAGAACTGGAAGGTACTGCTGTTTCCTGGACCAAAACTTTGTGGGGTTTTTTTGTTTTTTTTTTTTGTTTTTTTTTTTTTTTTGAGATGGAGTCTCCCTCTGTTGTCCAGGCTGGAGTGTGGTGGCACAATCTTGGCTCAGTGCAACCTCCACCTCTCAGGTTCAAGTGATTCTCCTGCCTCAGCCTCCCAAATAGCTAGGATTCCAGGTGCCCGCTGCCACGCTCAGCTAATTTTTGCATTTTTACTAGAGATGGGGTTTCACCATGTCTTGAACTCCTGACCACAAGTGATCCATTTACCTCAGCCTCCCAAAGTGTTGGGATTACAGGCGTGAGCCACCATGCCCAGCCCTTTTTGTTTTTTTAATTAAGAAAATAATTTTAATTATAAGATATACATAACATAAAATTTATTGTCTTAACCATTTTCAAGTGTACAGTCAGTAGTGTTAAATATATTCATGTTATTGTGCATCCGATCTCCAGAATGCTTTTCTTCTTGCAAAACTGAAACTGAACCAGCCCGGGCGCAGGGGCCTCACACCTCTAATCTTAGCACTTTGGGAGGCCAAGCAGGGAAGGATTGCTCAAGGCCAGGAGTTCAAGACCAGCCTGGCCAACATAGTGAGACCCTATCTCTTTTAGTGAAAAACAAATCAAACCATTAAACAATTCCCCACCCAGCACCTGGCAACCACTATTCTGCTTTCTGTTTCTGTGGATTTGACTCTTAGATCTCATACCCAGAGTATTTGTAGCATATAATACTTATTTGTGTGTGACTAGCATGCTTCACTTAGCATAATGGACTAAAGATTAATCCATGTTATAGCATATATCAGAATTTCCTTGCTTTTTAAGACTGAACAGTGTTCCATTGTGTGGATGTACCACATTGTGTTTATTTATTTATCTCTCAATGGATACTTGAGTTGCTTCTTTTTTTTTTTAGAGACCAAGTTTTGCTCTTGTTGCCCAGGCTGGAGTGCAATGCCGCGATTTTGGCTTACCGCAACCTCTGCCTCCCAGGTTCAAGTGATTCTCCTGCCTCAGCCTCCCAAGGAGTTGAGCTAGAATTACAGGCATGCACCACCACACCCGGCTAGTTTTGTATTTTTAGTAGAGACGAGGTTTCTCCATGTTGGGTCAGGCTGGTCTCGAACTCCTGACCTCAGGTGATCCACCTGCCTTGGCCTCCCAAAGTGTTGGGATTACAGGCGTGAGCCACTGTGCCCAGCCCTTTTTGTTTTGTTTTTAACAGGTTCTAACTTTGTTGCCAGGCTAGAATGCAGTGGTGCAATCTTGGCTCACTGCAGCCTCAAACTCCTGGGCTCAAGCAATCCTCCCACCTCAGACTGGGCTCAAGCAGTCCTCCCACCTCAGACTCCCAAGTTGCTGGGACTATAGGTGTGATGCCCCAACACACCCAGCTGATTTTTGTATTTTTTGTAGAGACAGATTTTCACTATGTTGGCCAGGCTGGTCTTGAACTCCTGGCCTCAGGTAATCCACCCACCTCAGCCTCCCAAAGTGCTGGGATGACAGGGCTGAGTCACCGTGCCTGTTGATTGCCTTTTTACTCTATCAATAGTATCTTTTCATGCTCAAGAGTGCTGATTTTGATGAAGTCTGTCTATTTTTTTCCTTTTGTTGCCTGTGCTTTGGGCGTCATATCTAATTAACCATTGCCAAATCTAGTGTTTTGAAGTTTTCTCCCATGTTTTCTTCTGAGAGTTTATGGTTTTAGTTCTTGTCCTCAGGTCGCTTACCCACTTTGAGTTATATTTTGGCGATGGTGTGAAGGAAGGGCCCAGCTTCACTGTTCTGCATGTGGATATTCTGTGTTCCCAGCTCTGCTTGTTGGAGGCACTGTCCTTTCCCCACTGAACAGTCTGGCACCATTGTTGAGAATGGTTGACTAGCTAATGCTTTTTTGCAGGTTTTTGTTGAAATGTGGCTTCATCACTATTCCTTGGAGATGTATCAAAAAATGCAGTCCCCTCACGCCAAGGTATGTTTCCACAGTTTTTCTTCCCGCCTCCTGCTTCTGACCCTGCTCAACCTGCTGCTTATCCTGCCTCTGAGTGAGTTTTCACAGACTGAACGGTGGGAAGCAGAAACCCACCACCCGCTTGTCACTCAGAAGCCGAATAAGAAGTGGGCGTCGTTCTCTGGTTCCTGGTGGCGGGCAGGGGGTGTCACACCCCGACGTGTAGACACTTGAGGACTGGAGGTCTGGCCTCTCCAGGGCCCACCCTGTGCAGCTTCCTGAGCCCCCTCCCTGGCAGCGGGAACAGATGAGGTTGTGGTGCTCTTGCTCTGAGGGCAGGGGAGCTTCGATGCTCTGGGAGCCACGTTCTCGTCTGTCTCCTCGACTATCAGCAGTGGCTTTGTGCTTTCCCATGAAGGGGTGGCTTGGAGCCTCCTTTGCCTGCTCCCTGTACTCCCCCACCTCCTCCAGAGCATGAGCAAGCAGCCCTTCTCGTGGTGGGTGGCACCTGGTGCCCCCGTGCATGCATCCTGGCTTGCCTCATCTCCCTCCCTTTCTCCTCTACCCGCTCTCTCTCGGGGCAACACGCGGCTTGCAGATGCCTGGAGGTGGCGGAGGCCCTGGGTCACTCTTGCTGTTGCTGTTGCTGTTCCTGGAGCTAGCACCCCCCTCCCCCGCCGGACTGGTCAGAGTGAGAAAGCAGCTAGGTGAACCTTAGGTCTCCAGTCAGTCACCCCCATGGAGCCGCTTGACTCATGCCTATCCGGGCCCTTGCCTGAGGTGGCATCAGCCACGTGGTCTGGTGCCCATGGCGTCTGTGCATCAGTATGCTTGGGAAACTGGCTTTGTCGCTGACAGATTTAAACTGAGGGCTTCCTCCAGAATGTGGCTGGTGGAGTTAAACTTCAGAGGAGCATCCTGTCACTTTTCCTTGGGTTCTGGCAAAGAGCTGTGGGTCTGCTTCTCCCACAGTCTCTACAGCCAGTTCCAGGGCCCCATGCTTTGCCATGTGAAGGCTCTCGCAGAGCATAGGGTCCCCCAAATCCTCACCCTCAGAATCACATGGGTGGAGAATGGGGAAAAGCTGAGGACCCCATCTTGGGCCTCCTGAGTCACAAAGAGCCTGCAGTCCCCTTCCTGCTTCCAGAGCAGACTTGCTGCATGTCCCTGGCTGGTGCCTGGGGGCCTGGTTATTCCCCAGGCCTGCTCCTCCCGTGGGGCTCTGGGTCCCTCACTTAGCACTAGTGCATGTGGCATGGCGTGGCCTGGCAGGGGCAGGGGCCACCACACTGTATTGTGTTCCGGTTGCTCCTTCTGCCTTCTGAGGGAGTGGAAGCACACCTACTTTCAAGAGTCAGCCAGAAAGACTCTTCTGGGCTGTCACCTGTGAGGATTCTGTGTCCTCACGGGCCAGAGGAAGGGCAGGGGGCTGTCCGTGTGGAGGGCAGGAGGTGCAGTTCCCTTCTTCCCCACTTTCGCTTCCTCTGGGCCAGACCTTGGGGTGGGTGGGCCCTGCTCAGAATACCTTGCAGTGGCCGGACCAAGTCCCCAGGGATGCTCCACTCTTCCCCTCTTCCAGTTCAGACAAAACACAAAACGCAAGAAAACTTGGTGGGTGGGAGCCAGAGAAAGGCAGCTATGGAGGTCTGTGTCCCCCAAGGCTTCTTGCCGCTTGCGCAGGCCTGTGCTACACGTACTGCTGTGCAGAAATCCCTGCCTGTCCCCACTAGCCCTTATTTTCAGATGCAGGAAGTGAGGCTCCTGGGGTCATCCTCCTCACCCTGGTTGAGTCCAGGATGCGTGCTTGCTCCCCAGTGGCCCTGTGGGCAGTAAGGATGGCCATGGCGCTGCAGGCCACTGTGTTCCTGCAAGCAAGGGCAGAGCCACACTGGGGAACTGTGTGTCTGATTCCTCCCTGAGCCCCAGGTCTGGCACAGGGGAAGGCTGTGGAGGGCAACACCTCCCTGCCCTGCTTCTTCGCTCCCTGCTCTGCGTGTCATGGCGACTGGCGAGTGTTCTGATCTCTCCTTTGTGGGGCCCCGTGGGTGCGCTGCTTGGGCAGGAGGCATGCTGCTGGCGAGGCAGGATGTGCACCGGGCTGGCTCTGGCTGCACTGGGCTGAAGGGGTGCTTCGGCAGGCCGTGGTGCTGCGGCGCAGTAGGTTGGAGGGTCCTGGCTAGGAACCAGCTCAGCCTCAGGTTCCTGCTGCCTCTGGGTGTGTGTGGCTGTGGCCAGATCCTCGGGGGCTCCCACCCTTGGGAACCCACTGTGTCTGGAGGGTGGAAGTTTCTGGTGCGGTAGGAGAGGCTGCCTCCAGGAGTCAGAGCTGATGTGCACACCCCCTTAGCTGACCTCCGTACTGTAGGGGAGGAGGGCAGGGCCTGGTGGCCTGAGCCTGTGCTCCTCGTCTCTGTGCTACTCTTGGGGAACTGTCTTCGCCCTCAGTTCTCAGAGAGCCACATGGAGGGGACACTGATTGAGTTTTAGACAGATAGGAATTGATCATGTCTTATACCAATTTGGTAAATTTCTTGAGACAACCCAGTCAATTCCACGTGTCTTTTCTGGGCAGAGTCCTCCTCCTGGAACATGCTCCGCTGGTTTTTCTGAGCCTCGGGATCTTGAGGTCTCAGTGACGGGCAGCATGTCCCAGCGAGGGCCCTGGGCTCTTGGAGGGCTCTGGTGTGCACGTGCCACACAGAGTGACCTCAGAGTCACTGGGGAGAATGGGTCCCATCCTGAAGGGATGAGTTGGGCCCTTCCGATGAGCTAGAGAGGCCTTTAGGCCCCAGCAGTATTGAGGGGCCACCAGGTGACCTGGAGGGTCCATCTGCCCGGGCCTCCAGAGCTGAGGAGAGTGTGGCCACAACCCTGGCCTGGCTTCGGAGGGGGGTGTTGCGCTGGCCCGCGGCTGCTGGGACTGCAATTGTTTGGATTGTCACTGACCGTGCTTTTGTTTTTGTTTTTTTCTCCTCACTCCTGGGCTTGTTCTCATTGCTTTCTTTCTCTCTCCGCTTCCCCCTCCCGTGTCTGGTCCTCTCTCTCCCCTTCCCCACCCCCTCCTCTTGTCCTCTGCTCTTCTGCCTCTTCCGGCATCTCTCTGTTCCTTGTCTCAGCTGGAGGTTCTGCACTACCGACTCAGTGTCTCCAGCGCCCTCTACAGCCCCGCCCAACCCAGCCTCCAGGCCCTCCACGCCTACCAAGTACTGGCTCATTCGTTCCCTTCCCCTGCCCAGAGTGCATGTCCATGCCTGGCAAAGCCAGGGGCCGCCGGGGCCGGCCGCTGGTGACTCAGAGGCTAGTTCCAAGCAGAGCGAAGCCCCTGTGTCTGGGGGAGGCAGGGGTCAGCCTCCAGTCTGGCCTGGCCCCTGGCTTTGTAGTCTAGCTTGGTTGGGGGTGGGGCTGGTGGCTGTGTGGCAGAACAAGGCGTGTGGCCCTGGCTGTCCAGGCTCCCAGCCAGTGGAGGTGTCACAAGCTCTCCGGTGTTGGAGGCCCCATGCTTGGCCCTGGTTTGAAACACTGGAGTCCTCAGGCCTCAGCAGTGGCCTGGTTCACTGCACTCTGTAGGGTCTGGTGCTCAGGAAGGAGCTGCAGACACAGAGGCCTGGGACTTACGGGTGGTGTGGGTTCTGCCTTGTTTAGAACTGTCACCCAGCCTGGAGGTGCTGCGACCCAGAGCCTGCATGTGAGGCGGGGGTGGGAAGGACCTAGGGCTTGACCCTATAGCCCACAGAAGCTGTCCGTCCTTGACAGTCCAGCCAGGACCCGGCCGTCACCTGGGGAGCCCTGGCCACTCATACACACCTCCAGAGGCGGATTAAAGTGGGTGGTGACCTCATAGAGGTTGTAGCTGCCTAGGCAGAAATGACAAGTGTGTGGATGGATTTGAGGTCAGTGAAGCAGAGTTCAGACTTGTAGGGGACTTCAGGGATGACAGAGGAATCAGTGAGAGCCAGAGGAGACAGGCTTTGCTCACAGCCAGTGATCTCTCCCGCTCACCTGGGAAGGAGCATGCATGACTGAACAGGAATTAGAGCACAAGATGAGAAAACGTGTTGGCCCCCGAGCACCGTTGGGCTGGGCTGGTGGCCACAGCACATGGGGGCACCTCATACCGCAGGAGCCACTCCAGAGGAGCGGAGGGACCTGAGAGGGCTTGGGCCAGGGAGGGAGGACAGTGTCCAGAAAGCATCTGGTAAACCCCATGGTGGGAGGGGTGACCAGCAAGACCTAGGTGGGGTGAGCTGAGGTGCTATGAGTCTCAGCCCAGTGGGAAATGTGGGTCTTTGGGGAACACATCCCTAAGGAGCAAGCAGGTGTGACTGTGGCCAGGGACTCCATGTGGGAACATGGCCCAGGAGGGGTGCCGAGCTGTGGGAGGAGTTTGGCTCAGCACACCTGTGGGAAAATAGCCTGAGAGGGTTCCAGGTGACTGCCGGGGGTTAGGGGGGGACAGTGGGCCCTCCGACCCTTCAGAAGGACCGGGTGAGGTGGGGCAAGTGCACCAGCAGTGGAAGGCAGTTTTCCAGTTCTCATGTGGAGGTCGTCCCCTCCCCTGAGCCGCAGGGAGGATGTTAGGGCTCAGGATCCTAGGCCAGGGTTGGAGGGAGGCCCTGGGCTGAGATTGGAGGAGGAGAGAGACCCTGGTCTAACGTCCCACCCCACTGGTGCTCTTCTAGTTGTCAGTATAGGTACAGGTATCATGTCTCATACTTTTCTCCTTCCGTCTTGTCTCTTTTTTCTTTTTGAGATGGTGTCTCGCTCTGTTGCCCAGGCTGGAGTGCAGTGGCATGGTCTTGACTCACTGCAATCTCCACCTCCCAGATTCAAATTATTATCCTGTCTCAGCCTCTTGAGTAGCTGGGATTACAGGCACGTGCCACCCACCCGGCTAATTTTTGTATTTTTAGTAGAGACATAGTTCTACCATGTTGGCCAGGCTGGTCTCAAACTCCCGACCTCAAGTAATCTGCCTGCCTTGGCCTCCCAGAGTGTTGGGATTACAGGCGTGAGTCACTACACCTGGCCCTTTCTTCCAAAACAATGCAAATTCATTGCCCAAAGACTTAACGATACAGATAGTAGAGGAAAATCGCCAGCCACGATGGCTCACACTTGTAATCCCAGCACTTTGGGAGGTTGAGGCAGGCTGATTGCTTGAACTCAGGAGTTTGAGACCAGCCTGGGCAACATGGCGAGACCCCTGTCTCTACAAAGAAACACAAAAATTAGCCTGGTGTGGTGGTGTGTGCCTGTGTTCCCAGCTACCCAGGAGGCTGAGGCGGGAGGATCCCTTGAGCCCTGGAGGCAGAGGCTACAGTGAGCCGAGATCACAACACTCCACTCCAGCATGGGTGACACAGTGAGACCCTGTCTCAAAAAAAGCAGAAAATGCCTCCCACCCTGTAGCTCCATCTTCAGACTCAGCCACTGATCTCTGGGGCGTGTCACCTGGACCTGTGGGGACAGTTTTCTGACGGGGAGACTTGAGTGGGCAGCGATATGGGCAGCGGCCCGTGCAGGGTCTGCAGCATCCCAGGATATACCCGGAGGCTGGGCCCTGCACCAGCACAGATGTATGAAGGCCCAAAGGGCTGGGGGACAAGCGAGCATGTCCACTCGGACTCAGGGCCCTGCCCTCGGCACCCTAACTCCCTTGCCCTCGTCAACTCTTGATGCTCCCACCTGCCCTCCCAATGCTAAGCAACCGGAGGAAGCACATGGCCACCAAAAAGATTTCCTCTCCAGCTAGATCTCCAGGATCCTGCTTGTATGTTACAAATCAAAGTTTGGCCTAGGCTGGGCACAGTGGCTCATGCCTGTAATCCCAGCACTTTGGGAGACCTGAGGTCTGGCCAACATGGTGAAATCCCGTCTCTACTAAAAGTAAAAATTAGCTGGGCATGGTGGCACACACTTGTAGTCCCAGCTACTCGGGAGGCTGAGTCAGGAGAATCACTTGAACCTGGATGCGGAGGTTTCAGTGAGCCGAGATAGTGCCGCTGTGCTCCAGCCTGGGCGACAGAGGGAGACCTTGTCTCAGGAAAAAAAAAGTCTGGCCTAATATCCCTGACTGTGCTTTTGTCTTAGGGTTTTCCTGACCACAGGTCCCTGGGCAACAGAGGAAGTGACGCCCGGGGCTTCTGCTGGGCCGAGTTCTCATCTGGCTGTGTCCAGGATGAGCAGGTGGAAGGATTTGGGGAGGAAAGCGAACCCATGGGGTTCTTATTTTTGAACAAGGTCTTACTCTGTCACCCAGGCTGGAGTGTAGTGGCACGATCCTAGCTCACTGCAGCCTCAAACCCCTGGGCTCAAGTGATCCTCCCACCCTAGCCTCCTGAGTCATTAGGACTATAGGTGTGCACCACCACACCCAGCTAACTTTTTAAAATTTTTCGTAGAGACCTGGTCTCCCTGTGTCGTCTAGGCTAATCTCTAACTTCTTAGTGATCTTTCTGCCTCTGCCTCCCAAAGTGCTGGAATTACAGGTCTGAGGCACCACAGCTGGGTTCCACGTGCTTTCTGCACACACTTGGGAGGCTGTTGGGAGACCCTGGATCCAGAGCTTGGGGTGATGCTGGCTCTCTCCTGCCCTGAGGATCAAGACAGGCACCAGTGCCCAAGGGCACAGCCTGTGCCACCCACTGCGGGCTTGCAGCGGTGCAGAAGCAGGGCTGAGGGGCCCTCTGCAGATGTGTCTGTCTTAGTGAGGCCTCCCCAGGGTGGGCTTTGTGGGCGCTGGGCCAAGCACTTCCCTACCACAAGCTGGTCAGCGTTCAGACCAAGCAGTGTAAGGCACGTCTGCTGGGTGCCAGGCACAGTGGTGCCCCAGGGAGTGGCCCCACTCCCGGCCTGGCTCGTGCCTCCTGTGGGGAAGCAGAGCAGCCGGCTCAGGGCGGGATGTGGTCAGACCTGGAGGCCCTAGTGCTATGGGTTCCGCGCTCCTTCCCAGGCCCTCACCCTCGTTCTCCACCTAGGAGTCGTTCACGCCTACTGAGGAGCATGTGTTGGTGGTGCGCCTGCTGCTGAAGCACTTGCACGCTTTTGCCAACAGCCTGAAGCCAGAGCAGGCTTCGCCGTCCGCCCACTCCCACGCCACCAGTCCCCTGGAGGAGTTCAAACGGTAGATGTCCCTTGCGGCTTCCCACCACTGCTGTCTCCCCCGCTTTCCCCTCCTAAGGTGTCGCCCACAGCAGCCTGTCCCCAGGGCATGGAGGGCAGGGTGAGGGGAGTCCCTTTCCGCTCACAGAGCACGTGAGGTCTCTCCAGGCCTAGGCAGGTGCCCTCTCTCCCCACCTAGTTGGCTCCCAGAGCCTCTCTCTCCAGACTGGCCAGAGAGGCCCCATTGTGCTTCCATCTCTTACATCTAATCTTCTTCAACCCTGTCAGGAGAAGAGCTGGGGCAGCCCTGACTGCCAGGCCCATCAGGGCCAGCAGAGTGGGCTGTTTGTATGGGACTGAGGTGTGTGCAGGAGCGGCACTGACTTGGCCGCCTGTGTGCTGTGTGTCCTTGGGACGTTCCCTAAACTCTCTGAACCTTGGTTTCTTCCTCTGAAGAATGGGGCTGAACCTCCTGGAGGTACCCAGTGCTCTCCCCCGGCAGAGCCGACCCTCACTGATGGGAGCCGCGGGCTCGCCTGTGAGCAGGGCCTCCTTACTGGGCAAGCAGCAGGTGACCCTCCCAATCCCCTGCAGGGCCGCTGTCCCGAGGTTCGTCCAGCAGAAACTCTACCTCTTCCTGCAGCATTGCTTTGGCCACTGGCCCCTGGACGCATCGTTCAGAGCTGTGAGTGTTGGCCCCGTCACACATGTGCCTGTGTCCTCTGTGTGCCCTGAGGTGGGAGGTCCTCTGGGGCAGTTGAAGGAGGAGAGCAAGTGTTTTCACAGAGGCCTTGGCAAGGAGGGGGTCTTGGAGGGCCGCATTGTTCTTTCTGTTTGTTTCCAAATCCAACCCTCAGGAAAGCCCTGCCCTGTCCCACCTGTCTGGTGCAGGGCAGGTTCCTACCCTTACCTGACCAGGGAGCACTGTGCCCCCTGTGCTGGGAAAAGCCCACCTACGACCCTGGCTTCCGGAGGGCCAGCAAGAGAGCCAAAGCCCACAGGGCTGTGTACGTCTCTCCTGCGCCCTCTGGGCGACGTGGGAAGAGCCAGTCCCACCCAGCTGCCGCCCGGGACCTGGGCTCCAGGCCACCAGAGGATTCGGCCCCCAGCTACTGAGCCCTCAGCACACACCTCCCCCACAGGTCCTAGAGATGTGGCTGAGCTACCTGCAGCCATGGCGGTATGCACCTGACAAGCAGGCTCCGGGCAGCGACTCCCAGCCCCGGTGTGTGTCGGAGAAATGGTGAGCCTCAGCCCCTCTCACAGACATGCACTGGCTCCCCCAGGTGGATATGGCTCCGGTGGGTGGAGGCCAGGCCAGAGGCCTGTGCTGGGGTCAGCCTGGCCCTGGCCCCCGTGGCCGCCTACGGTCCTCTCCCAGCCCCTGCCGACTGGAGCACAGACCAGCCCTTCCTAGACTCAACTTTGCCAGGCCCTAGAATTGGTTTCTCATGGAAGCGGTGGGTGACCCATCCTGCCCTGTCCCCTCTCCCTTCTGTTCCAGACGAGTGTTCAGCCATCCCCAAACTATCCCTTGACTCTCATCAGCACAGAGCAGAGCAGTGGTGATCAAGCAGGGAATGAGGGAGGCCGCCTTCCCCCATCCCCTGCTTGATTCTTACAGCAGACCCCCAGGCTTCTGTGGCACCTCGCATGGCCACTGACCCCTCCCCTCACCCAAGGCCTTCCCCTTTGGACCTCTGGGGGATCCTCCCTCAGCCCCCTCAGGCTTTGGGCCGGCCTCTGCCATGGTGGCCTCCGTTCACTTGGAAAGGGGCCTCAGCCTTGCTAAGGATGTCGTGTCCTCAGAGGGCCTGGGTCTTACCTGCCTCTGTCCTGCCCTCCCTGCCTGCCCATGCCCCCCGAGTTGTCATCTGTGACAGCTTGTCACCTTGGCCAGGGAGAGTCTGAAAGCCCAAGGGTGAGCAAGGGCATTAAGGACATAGATCAGCACAGCCCCCGCCTCCAGTTGGAAGACTGGCCCTGACCTGCCACCTCGGTCCCCAGGGCGCCCTTTGTCCAGGAGAACCTACTGATGTACACCAAGTTGTTTGTGGGCTTCCTGAACCGCGCACTCCGCACAGACCTGGTCAGCCCCAAGCACGCGCTCATGGTGTTCCGAGTGGCCAAAGTCTTTGCCCAGCCCAACCTGGCTGAGATGATTCAGAAAGGTAAGTCATCAGCCTGGGCCAGCCGGGTAAACGTCGACCAAGCCAGACCAGGGCCAGGCCCTTAGCTGGAGGCGACCGGTCTTTAAGAGGGACCCACATGCCCAGAGTGGGCCCTAGCAAAGGGTGCTGTGGAGACTCCTGGGACACATCTGTATGGTGAAGTCTGAAACCGGCTGGATCCTGCCTGCCCTGCAGCCACCAGGCACTCGCGGGGAGGATGGCAGGTGTGCCCACAGAGGGGGACTGCACGGTCCAAGCTGCAGCCCTGTGGCCCCGCCGTTTCTCCCCGGCGACTCGTGGTGGCCATTTGAGGAGGTGAGCCTGGACTCTGCCGTGCATTCATCCTGGCTGGGTTGGGCATTGGTTTCTGTTCCTCCTGCTGTTGTTTCCCTCCTGCAGACACTGCTGGGGGCTCTGTGAGCCACCAGCTTCCCCACCTGCCCTCCTCAGCCACCTACTGAGTGGGAGATGCTGCCAGGCAGGGCCTCAGAGGACACCCCTGGGTCACGGCTCCCCAGACACCTCGGAGGCACCCCAGAATTCTAAGTCAGGTACTCTGCCTCCGGGAAGTGGGTGCCAGGTTCGACCGTCTCCTGCCTTCTAGGTGAGCAGCTATTCCTGGAGCCAGAGCTGGTCATCTCCCACCGCCAGCACCGACTCTTCACGGCCCCCACATTCACTGGGAGCTTCCTGTCACCCTGGCCACCAGCAGTCACTGATGCCTCCTTCAAGGTGAAGAACCACGTCTACAGCCTGGAGGGCCAGGACTGCAAGTACACCCCGATGTTTGGGCCCGAAGCCCGCACCCTGGTGAGTGGGCCGGCGGTGCCTGTCCTCAGGGCCCCTGGAGCCATGGGGCTGAGCAGAGCCAGGGAAGGGCTGTGATCCGGCAGGAAGGAGGGAGGCTGGGTGTAGATTTGTCGCCACATCTCCTTCCCCCGTTTTAGTAAAGTCTCAGTTTTTCCTGATAACGAAGGCAGTGTTTGTTGGGAAATTTCAAATTTAGATGATCATCCTTTAGTCTTTAAAAGTCCTCTGGCGGGAGCTGCTCCTCCCGACGCTCAGCAGTCTGGCTGTGCATTGCTCTTGGGGGTCCCGGCCAGCCTGTCTGGGTGGCAGCACAGGCCTGTCCTGCTGGTGACCTGGTGACCTGCCCGCACCTCCCTTGCAGGTCTTACGCCTTGCTCAGCTCATCACACAGGCCAAACACACAGCCAAGTCCATCTCAGACCAGTGTGCGGAGAGCCCGGCTGGCCACTCCTTCCTCTCATGGCTGGGCTTTAGCTCCATGGACACCAACGGCTCCTACCCAGCCAACGATCTAGACGAGATGGGGCAAGACAGCGTCCGGAAGACAGATGAATATCTGGAGAAGGCCCTGGAGTACCTGCGCCAGATATTCCGGGTACGACCTATGGGACCTGCCCCACGGCCATCAGGGTCCCCTTCCCCGAAAGATCCACTTCACGTAGCCTGTGCTCAGCCACGTACGAGTCCCAGGCCCCACACATACGGACCCAGTGTTGTGGGAGGCAGGCCCACACCTCGAGCATCATATCTGGGTCCCCTTGTTGGCACTGTTGTAGGCTGGTGGGGTGAAGACTGGTCCCCTCCCTTCATCTTGACGCTGAGGGCAGAGGCACTTCTCTCTGGCAGCTCAGCGAAGCACAGCTCAGGCAGTTCACGCTCGCCTTGGGCACCACCCAGGATGAGAATGGAAAAAAGCAGCTTCCCGACTGCATTGTGGGTGAGGACGGACTCATCCTCACGCCCCTGGGGCGGTACCAGGTGAGAGGCCCGTGTCTCAGAGGAGCATGGACTGGGCCCTGCCTCATCCCTAGCTCCCTCCTCCCTCGTGAGCAGAGGCCATCAGGCTCCTCTGAGTTGTATGTGGGGCTATGTTTTCTGACCCGTCGCTATGGCCTGGCTTTCTAGATCATCAATGGGCTGCGAAGGTTTGAAATTGAGTACCAGGGGGACCCAGAGCTGCAGCCCATCCGCAGCTATGAGATCGCCAGCTTGGTCCGCACGCTCTTCAGGCTGTCGTCTGCCATCAACCGCAGAGTGAGTGGGCAGGAGGACCGGCCTGGCCTCTTCAGAGAGGGTTCTGGATGCTCCTGCCCCGGGTGCAGTCCCGGGCTGGCTGGTGGGGGTGGGGCACTGCTGTCCTGAGGCCTGTGGTGCCACCACCCCACACCCCATGCCTCTGTCTGTGCTTCAGTTTGCAGGACAGATGGCGGCTCTGTGTTCCCGGGATGACTTCCTCGGCAGCTTCTGTCGCTACCACCTCACAGAACCCGGGCTGGCTAGCAGGCACCTGCTGAGCCCCGTGGTGCGGAGGCAGGTGGCTGGCTACACCCGTGGCCCCAGGCTCAGCCTGCGCTTCCTGGGCAGTTACCGGACGCTGGTCTCGCTGCTGCTGGCCTTCTTGGTGGCCTCTCTGTTCTGCGTCGGGCCCCTCCCATGCACGCTGCTGCTCACCCTGGGCTATGTCCTCTACGCCTCTGCCATGACCCTGCTGACCGAGCGGGGGAAGCTGCACCAGCCCTGAGGGTGTCAGCTGCCTTCAGAGCAGGCTGGGGGGATTTGCCACACAGCCCCACCTTGGGCCTGAGAGGACCTGGGAAGCCCCTCCAGGAGGGACCACGGTCATCCTCGGGCTTCTGGAGCAGGGTTCCTGCAGCCGCAGAGGCATCTGGAGGAAACGCAACCAAGAAGGGAAGGCAGGGGAGGCCGAGACGGGCGGATCACGAGGTCAGGAGATCAAGACCATCCTGGCTAACACGGTGAAACCCCGTCTCTACTAAAAAATACAAAAAACTAGCCGGGCGAGGTGGCGGGCGCCTGTAGTCCCAGCTACTCGGGAGGCTGAGGCAGGAGAATGGCGGGAGGAGAATGGCGGGAACCCGGGAGGCGGAGCTTGCAGTGAGCTGAGATCCGGCCACAGCACTTCAGCCTGGGCCACAGAGCGAGACTCCGTCTCAAAAAAAAAAAAAAAGGGAAGGCAGGCGGGGCCCGGCAAAGGAGTGGCTACCAGGCCTCAACAACCACGTTCTGTGACAGCGCAGAGCTCGGCGCCGGCCCCTCCCTCCCTCCGCCAAGGACTCCGCCCAGCCAGCTCTTGGGGCCTTTTTCCAGCGCCCATTTGGGTACTCTGCCGCTAAGCTTGGGAGCCAGCCTGCCAACAGCCGCCTGGCCTGGCCTCCCGACTGGCTGGCCTTGAGGTGGGCAGAGCGGGTTGTGGCACCTCCTCTCCCTGTGTGGGACCAGGACGGTGGCTCAGCCTCCACTCCAGGGAAGAATCAAAGTTTCTAGAGTCGTGAGAAAACTATTGAGAGTGGCTCTCCTCTGATTCTTCACTGTGAGGGGCATTCTTCATGTTCTCCCAGCTGTTCCAAGACTGGGCCATAGAATTCCATGTTTCAGGAGCCTAAGACCCTCCCAGAGCCCAGGTGCTTCACCACAGACCCCAAGCCGTCAAGCACATTGCCCAGAGCAGTGGCCAACATCATGGACCCCTGTGCCTTGTCACAGATGGGTGCTGGTCCTCAGGTGTTGCAGACACTGCTGGGTCCATGGGGTCGGATTCTGCCAGTTTCTGCACTGCAGCCAAAGATGGTCAGAAGCATTGTCGCTTCACTAGCATCAAGTGCTCAAAGACATGGCAGCCGTTTGGTGGTACTTAAGTATTCAAAATGACGACAACTGCAGATTCTCTGACAGAAACCAGCACGGGGTCTTCACCTTCCTTCACCCCACAGGTGACACACCAGGGACAACAGCATCTCAGTGGTGATTTCCAAACCAAGCCTTTGTTTTTGGTGTGGCAGTTTGGGGGTTTGCTTTAATGTTTTTCAAATTGTAAATGTTGGGCTTTGTATTTTGATGTAAACTGAGAATAATGGCATTTTAGGGCCTGTGACCAAAAATCAAGCTTGTAACTCGACCATGGATCTCAATAAACCTGTCCTTGCTTCTGAGTCTTCTGGCACCTGGGCTCAGTCTCCAGGAGCTTCACCTGTGCAGAGTCCCTGAGCACACGGGGGCTGCAGACACAACTGCTGGGCACCCTGTCGGCCCCTCCCTGCAGTGTCCACAGGCCTGGGCCTCTGGCTTCCTGTTCTTTCCTCTCTCAGAGGCACAGTGACTTTGCCCCGTCTTTACAAAAGATTCAAAAAGTTAGGCATGGTGGCTCATGTGTGGTCCCAGCTACTCGGGACACCGAGTTTGGAGGATCGTCAGGACCCAGGAGGTGAAGGCTGCAGTGAGCCTTCATCACGCCACTATCCTCCAGCCTGGGTGACGGAGTGAGACCCTGTTCTCAAAAGCTGACCTCCAGGAACGTGTGCTGCCATGTCTATGGCTTCCAGAAGCTCCAAGGATTGCGGGAGTTGCTGGGGGCTGAACTGTCTGGCCAGGAGCGGGGGTGCAGACAAAAACGTATTGAGAACCAAGAACAGCAAAGCTGAGAGGGGGCAGGGTCTTGGTGGCTGGGACCTGGACAGTGATGGCCACAAAGCCAGCTGGTGCTCAGTGGCTCCTGCCTGGGGAGTGAGGACGGCAGCAGGCAACTAGGTTCCAGCCACTTCCAGGTATGGGGTAGGGACCTCGCCAATAAATTGGGATTTAAATTTTGCCGAGAGCTTTCACTCTAGAGAAAATGGGACTGCTGGGACGAGAGCAGAAGCAAAATGCAGTTGGGGGGGCCTGGCCAGGAGGCACTTGGGGACTTCCAGGGAAGGCCTGTAGTTGGAGCAACTTGGGAAGCAGTTCTGTCTGGGGCACAAGGAGGAGGGACGCCAGGCTGGAGGCAGGAGCGCCTGCACATTCTCGTCTCCACCCCTGGATGCCTCCAGAGTGGTCTGCCCTAACTGCCACTGCCGCCGCCGCCTCAGCTTCTAGGACTTTTTGCCATTGGGCCACACTCCTCTGCTAACAGGCCAAATCCAGATGCTTCTCTGACCAAGTGGCCTGGAGCCTCTGGCGGCACAGCTTCAGGCTGTCCTGACATCACCCCTGCCCCCTGCACATCCGCATTGTCCTCCTTGCCCCGAGGCAGTGCTGTTCCTTGGAGCCCATTCATGGCCCACTCCCTTGCACGACCAACACATTATACCTCTAGGATATGCCAGCGCCCCTGTGATCTGAGGTAAGTCAGATTCTGATTGTGCAAGCAACTCACACGCAGAGGCCCTGTGCAGTCAGGAGAAATCTATACCTTTCCCCTTGGACATCCAAGAGCAAGTTAGATCCCCTAAAGGCCAGCTCTCACCAATAACCCTGACATTTCCAATATAAATGAGGGAGAACTCTTCTTTTTTTTTTTTTTTTTAACTGAGTATCTCACTCTGTCACCCAGGCTGGAGTGCAGTGGCCAGATCTCAGCTCACTGCAAGCTCCGCCTTCCGGGTTCACGCCATTCTCCTGCCTCAGCCTCCCGAGTAGCTGGGACTACAGGCGCCCGCCACCATGCCCGGCTAGTTTTTTGTATTTTTAGTAGAGACGGGGCTTCACTGTGTTAGCCAGGATGGTCTCAATCTCCTGACCTCGTGATCCACCCGCCTCGGCCTCCCAAAGTGCTGGGATTGCAGGCGTGAGCCACCGCGCCCGGCCGAGAACTTTTGGAGACAAAGTCTTGCTATATTGCCCAGGCTGGAGTGCACCGCACCGTCACGGCTCACTGCAGCCTGTAACTCCTGGGCTTACGCAGTCCTGCCTCAGCATCCTAAGTAGCCAGGACTACAGGCATGCGCCACCACACCCTGCTAATTTTTAAATTTTTTTGTAGAGGCGGGGTCTCACTGTGTTGCCAGGCTGGTCTTGAACTCCTGGGCTCAAATGATGGACCGCCTCTGCATCCTGAAGTGCTGGGGTTACAGGTGCGAGCCACCACACTGGAGAGAGGACTCTCATGTAGCCTTCACTGTAAAAACTAAGCTAGCTTCCCTTGACTCCCCAAACCAGAATTCCTAACATAATTTTCTCAAGTCACAAGGTGCCAAAACATACCAAATTATTTCCCAGTCAAGAATTCCTACTTTTGGCCAGGTGCAGTGGCTCACGCCTGTAATCCCAGCACTTTAGGAGGCTGAGGCAGGAGGATCACTTGACGTCAAGAGTTCGAGACCAGCCTGGCCAACATGGTGAAATCCCATCTCTACTAAAAATACAAAAATTAGCTAGTGTGGCGCATACCTCTAATCTCAGTTACTTGGGAGGCTGATGCAGGAGAATCGCTTGAACCTGGGATGCAGAGGTTGCAGTGAGCCAAGATTACACCACTGTACTCCAGCCTGGGTGGCAGAGACTCCTTCTAAAAAATAAATAAAAAATAAAAGTGGGCCGGGCGCGGTGGCTCAAGCCTGTAATCCCAGCACTTTGGGAGGCCGAGACGGGCGGATCATGAGGTCAGGAGATCGAGACCATCCTGGCTAACACGGTGAAACCCCGTCTGTACTAAAAATACAAAAAGCTAGCCGGGCGAGGTGGCGGCGCCTGTAGTCCCAGCTACTCGGGAGGCTGAGGCAGGAGAATGGCGGGAACCCGGGAGGCGGAGCTTGCAGTGAGCTGAGGTCCAGCCACAGCACTCCAGCCCGGCGACAGAGCAAGACTCCGTCTCAAAAAATAAAAAAAATAAAAAAATAAAAAAAAAGTGATAATTGGCAGCTGGTGCCAGGGAGAGGCCACTTCCTGATGGGCCACACCTATTTCACTAAAGGGTTAATTGAATGCAGATTCGAGGGAGAAGCAACTTCCCAGGCATGCGCATTAGGAGACAAAGTGGTGGAGTATGACTTTCTGGGGGCACCCTACCCAAAACCCTCAGATGGCATGCATACAGTTTCCTAAACACACTGCGAGCACCCACCTCCCAGGGTTAAGGAGGGCACTATACATACGGACAGCCCACCCTAAGGGAAGGATCATGGGAAAGGGGCCAGTCTAGAAGGTCCTAGGATCAAGGTTAAACACTTGACCTTCATGTGCCCACTTAGGTCTCTTCCAAGCGTACTTTCCTTTCTTTGCTGTTTTAAAGACTTTTAAAATACACTTCCACTCCTGCTCTGAAACTTGCTTCGGTCTCTTTTTCTGCCTTATGCCCCTCAGTCGAATTCCTTCTTCTGAGGAGCCAAGAACTGTCGTTGCTGAAGACCCATCGGATTCACTGCCAGCAACTTGGACACCTTCCACTGCTAACACAATAACACTTGGTTACTGTGTTTATTTGGAGCGTAAGTAGGGTTTAAGGAGATGTGTATGGGTGCCAGGTTGACAAGGGGTGGACTTGTGATGGTTAATTCTGTATGTCAACTTGTCTGGGCCACTGGATGCACACATATCTGGTTACACAGTATTTCCTGGCAGGTCTGGAAGGGTGTTTTCAGAAGAAATTAGCATTTAACTTGGTGGTGCAAGCAGCCATGCGTGCATTTCTGGAGCAGCTTCCCTGTAGCTTGCAGGAACCAGAGCGGGCAATAAGAGTCCCATCCTCCAAATCCTGGAGATCTGTGCTCTGATTGATGATGGTTGCTTTTGATTGTGAAAATGCAGACAAAGGCCGGGCGCGGTGGCTCAAGCCTGTAATCCCAGCACTTTGGGAGGCCGAGACGGGCGGATCACGAGGTCAGGAGATCGAGACCATCCTGGCTAACACGGTGAAACCCCGTCTCTACTAAAAATACAAAAAATTAGCCAGGCGTTGTGGCAGGCGCCTGTAGTCCCAGCTACTCGGGAGGCTGAGGCAGGAGAATGGTGTGAACCCAGGAGGCGGAGCTTGCAGTGAGCTGAGATCTGGCCACTGCACTCTAGCTTGGGCGACAGAGCGAGACTCTGTCTCAAAAAAAAAAAAAAAGAAAAAAAAGAAAATGCAGACAAAGAGGCAGGCAGCCACTGCTGCAATCTCCACGGCTATGTTTGCAACCTCCCTCCTCAACCCTCACCCCCTTCCTGGGGACACACCTTCCAGGAGGTTTTTATGGATCAGCACCTCCTCCTGCCTTCATTTTTCTTTTCTCCTTGGGAACCAGATGTTTAGGACTAAGACATTCAAAAGCAACCATACACCAGGCACAGTGGCTCATACCTGTAATTTCAACACTTTGGGAGGCTGAGGCAGGAAGACTGCCTCAGCCCAGGAGTTTGAGACCAATCTGGGCAACATAGCAAGACAAAAAAAAAATTAGCCAGGCATGGTGGTGTGTGCCTTTAATCCCAGTTACTAGGGAAGCTGAGGCAGGAGGATGGCTTGAGTCCAGGAGTTCCAGGCTGCAAGTGAGCTATAATCGTGCCACTGCACTCCTGCCTGGATGACTTTCTCTCCACTCAGGAGATCCTCACTCCCAGCAATAATACTGCTGCCATTCATTCCACTATCAATAAGCCATAATTACTGAATACATGTTGCTATAATTATTTTGAACACCCTGTCATCTGTTAAAAATAAGAACAAGATTATGTTTTATCTTCATTTATTTCTTCTCTAATGCATTTCCCTTTCTTTAGATCCAAATTTCCTATATCATTTTCCTTCTTTTTTTGAGACAGGGTCTCTCTGTTGCCCAAGCTGGAGTGCAGTGGTGCAATCATGGCTCACTGCAGTCTCAGCCTTCTGAGTAGGTGGGACTGCAGGCATGCACCACCATGCAGGCAAATTTTTTAGTTTTTTGTGGAGACAGGGTCTGGCTATATTGCCCAGGCTGGTCTCCAACTCTCAGGCTCAAGAGATCCTTCTGCTTTGGCTTCTCAAAGTGCTGGGATTACAGGCATGAGCCATGCACCTGACTTCATTTCTGTTGTGTTTTTGACTTCTTACATTTTCTTTTTGTTTATTGAGACAGAGTCTCACTCTGTTGCTTGGGATGGAGTGTAGTGGCAGGATCTCAGCTTGCTTCACCTCCTGGGTTCAAGTAATTATTTGGCTTCGGCCTCCTGAGTAGCTGGGATTACAGACATATACCACCATGCCTGGCTAATTTTTTTTTTTTTTTAAATGGGAGTCTCACTCTGTCGCCCAGGCTGGAGTGCAGTGGCACGATCTCGGCTCACTGCAAGCTCTGCCTCCTGGGTTCACGCCATTCTCCTGCCTCAGTTTCCCAAGTAACTGGGACTACAGGTGCCCACCACCACGCCCGGCTAATTTTTTGTATTTTTAGTAGAGAATGGGTTTCACCATGTTAGCCAGAATGATGTCGATCTCCTGACCTTGTGATGCGCCCGCCTCGGCCTCCCAGTAATTTTTGTATTTTTAGTAGAGATGGGTTTTCACCATGTTGCCCAGGCTGGTCTTGAACTCCTGACCTCAAGTGAGTTGCCCACCTTGGCCTCCCAAAGTGTTGGGATTAGAGGTGTGAGCCATTGTGCCCAGCCAACTTTATGCATTTTCTTTCTTTTATTTTCTTTTTTTGAGATGGAGTCTTACTCTGTTGCGCAAGCTTGAGGGCAGTGGCATGATCTCGGCTCACTGCAACCTCCACCTCCTGGGTTCAAGTGATCCTCCCGCCTCAGCCTCCCAAGTAGCTGGAATTACAGGTGCATGCCACTACACTAGCTAATTTTTGTATTTTTTAGTAGAGATGGAGTTTCACCTTGTTGGCCAGGCTGGTCTTGACCTCCTGACCTCAAATGATCTGCCCAACTCGGCCTCCCAAAGTGCTGGGATACAGACATGAGCCACTATGCTTGGCCTTCACATTTTCTTTAGATTATTTCTTAGAGTGTCTACCTCTACTGTTCCCATTATCAGTATGTAATCTCATGTTGTCCACTTTTTTCCATTAGAGCCCTTAGCATATTAATAATAGTTGTATTCCATTTCTTGGTCTGATAATTCCAACATCTCTGCCATATTTAAGTCTGGCTCTGATGTTTGCTGTGTCTTCAAACTGTGTTTTTTGTTTTTTATTATGCCTTACAAGTTTTTGTTGACAGCTGGTGGTGCTGAACCAGGAAGAGGTAAATGGACTTTCTGTGTGAAGTTTTATGTTGGTCTGGTTTAGGGGTTGTGCCATGTGTGTTGTTTGTTAACTGTAGGTGTCTGAGGCTTAAATCTCTGGTGTCTTAGTTTTTGTCTCCCTGTTGTCTTTAGGGTTTCCTAGAGATTTCTCAAATAAGCTCTGAGATGAGCAGTTCTTTCGCTTGTATCCTCTGTTATTATACAGGAGCCCTGTGGATGTGGCAGTAAGATGTGGGAAAGGGGAGCCAGAGCAGGCTGGGGTGAGGTTATGTTCTCTTCCTCCAGGTTTGTTGGTATCTGGTAAAATCACGATTGGCCTGGCTGTGTGGTTTTTTTTTTTTTTTTTTTTGAGGGCAGGCCTTGTAAAAAAAAAAAAAAAGGCGTATTTCTTTTTATTTTTATTATTTTTTAATTAATTAATTAATTTTGAGACGGAGTCTCACCCTGCCGCCCAGGCCGGAGTGCAATGGAGCAATCTTGGCTCACTGCAACCTGCCCCTCCTGGGTTCAAGTGATTCTCCTGCCTCAGCCTCCCGAGTAGCGGGGATTACAGGCGTGAGCCACCGTGCCCGGCCTTTTATTTTTAGGCAGCATCTCACTCTGTCGCCTAGGCTGGAGTTCAGTGGTGCCATCATAGCTCACTGCAGCCTCCACCTCCGGGGTTCCAGCGATCCTCCCGCCTCAGCCTCCCGAGTAGTTGAGACTACAGGGGCCAGCCACCATGCCCGTTTTTTTTTTTCTTTTAATTTTTACAGAGACGGGGTCTCACTCTCCATCCAGGCTGGAAAGGATGCCTGGGTGCCTTTTATTATTATTATTTGCTTAATTATTTTTAGACAGAGCCTCGCTCTGCTTCCACGTTGGAGGGCTGCGCGCCGATCTCCGCTCACTGCAGCCTCTGCCTCCCGGTGCACGCGATTCTCTTGCCCCAGCCTCCCGAGCAGCTGGGATTGCTGGCGCCGCCTCCACCCCGGCTAAATTTTGTATGTTTAGTAGAGTCGGGGTTTCGCCATGTTGGTCAGGCTGGTCACGAACTCCCGACCTCAAGTGATCCGTCCGCCTCGGCCTCCCCAAGGTCGGGGGTCACGGGCGCGCCCCCGCCGGGCCCCGGACGCCGCGGAAGTCGCTCCTCAGCCGGGAGGAGCAGCCAAGGCCCCGCCCACGCCAACCGCCTCGCCTGCCGCCGCGCGGTTTCCACGGTGACGGGCGCCCAGCGGGGCTGCCTGGCCGAGCCGGGTGCAGCGGCCGCGGGAAGGTCCCGGCGATGGCGAGATGAGCGTTGCGGGGGTGGTGGCGGGGACGCGCCCCCCCAGCTCGCCCACCCCGGGCTCCCGGCGCCGGCGCCAGCGCCCCTCCGTGGGCGTCCAGCCCGGGGGGCCGCAGAGCCCGCAGCTCCGGCCCAGCGACCCGCAGAAACGGAACCTGGACCTGGAGAAGAGCCTGCAGTTCCTGCAGCAGCAGCACTCGGAGATGCTGGCCAAGCTCCACGAGGAGATCGAGCACCTGAAGCGGGAGAACAAGGGTGAGCCGGGAGGGACCCCAGGCCAGCGCTTCCTCCCCAGCACCCCTAACGCCGCCGCTCCCGCAGCGCAGAACAGCCATGAACTCCAGCACACGCCTGGGCTCAGGGGGACACAGGACAGACTCCTGCACAGGTCCGGGCTCGGGGACACAGCCATGAACTCCAGCACAGGTCCGGGCTCGGGGACACAGCCATGAACTCCAGCACAGGTCCGGGCTCAGGGACACAGCCATGAACTCCAGCACAGGTCCGGGCTCAGGGACACAGCCATGAACTCCAGCACAGGTCCGGGCTCAGGGACACAGGACAGACTCCAGCACAGGCCCGGGCTCAGGGGGACACAGGACAGACTCCAGCACAGGTCCGGGCTCAGGGACACAGCCATGAACTCCAGCACAGGTCCGGGCTCAGGGACACAGGACAGACTCCAGCACAGGTCCGGGCTCAGGGACACAGGACAGACTCCAGCACAGGTCCGGGCTCAGGGGGACACAGGACAGACTCCAGCACAGGTCCGGGCTCAGGGACACAGGACAGACTCCTGCACAGGTCCGGGCTCGGGGACACAGCCATGAACTCCAGCACAGGTCCGGGCTCAGGGACACAGCCATGAACTCCAGCACAGGTCCGGGCTCAGGGACACAGCCATGAACTCCAGCACAGGTCCGGGCTCAGGGACACAGCCATGAACTCCAGCACAGGTCCGGGCTCAGGGACACAGGACAGACTCCAGCACAGGCCCGGGCTCAGGGGGACACAGGACAGACTCCAGCACAGGCCCGGGCTCAGGGACACAGCCATGAACTCCAGCACAGGCCCGGGCTAGGGGGAACACACGACAGACTCCAGCACACGCCCAGGCTCGGGGGGACACAGCCATGAACTCCAGCACGGGCCCGGGCTCAGGGACACAGGACAGACTCCAGCACAGGTCCGGGCTCAGGGACACAGCCATGAACTCCAGCACAGGTCCGGGCTCAGGGACACAGCCATGAACTCCAGCACACGCCCGGGCTCGGGGGGACACAGGACAGACTCCTGCACAGGTCCGGGCTCAGGGACACAGCCATGAACTCCAGCACACGCCCGGGCTCGGGGACACAGGACAGACTCCAGCACACGCCCGGGCTCGGGGACACAGGACAGACCCCAGCACACGCCCGGGCTCAGGGGGAACACACGACAGACTCCAGCACACGCCCGGGCTCGGGGACACAGGACAGACTCCAGCACACGCCCGGGCTCGGGGACACAGGACAGACCCCAGCATACGCCCGGGCTCGGGGGGACACAGGACAGACTCCAGCACATGCCCGGGCTCGGGGGGACACAGGACAGACCCCAGCATACGCCCGGGCTCGGGAGGACACAGGACAGACTCCAGCACATGCCCGGGCTCGGGGGGACACAGGACAGACCCCAGCATACGCCCGGGCTCGGGGGGACACAGGACAGACTCCAGCACATGCCCGGGCTCGGGGGGACACAGGACAGACCCCAGCACACGCCCGGGCTCGGGGACACAGGACAGACTCCAGCACATGCCCGGGCTCGGGGGGACACAGGACAGACCCCAGCACACGCCCAGGCTCGGGGGTACACAGCCATGAACTCCAGCACACGCCCGGGCTCGGGGACACAGGACAGACCCCAGCACTCGCCCGGGCTCGGGGACACAGGACAGACTCCAGCACACGCCCGGGCTCAGGGGGAACACACGACAGACTCCAGCACATGCCCGGGCTCGGGGAGACACAGGACAGACCCCAGCACATGCCCGGGCTTGGGGGATCACAGGACAGCAAGTCCGCCCTGGGTCCTGCCATGCCGAGCCGTCCCCTTCTCCCAGAGGGAGACCCGCGTGGCCCTGGGCAATGCCGACCCTGTCCGCCTGTCTCCTAGGGCAGCATCATTTCAGCTGCTGACCCGGCCAGTCCTCTTCTCTCCAGGCAGGGTCAGACCCACCTGTTAAAAACTTTATAGAGGCGGCTGGGCGCGGTGGCTCAGGCTTGAAATCCCAGCACTTTGGGAGGCCGAGGCGGTTGGATCACGAGGTCAGGAGATAGAGACCATCCTGGCAAACACGGTGAAACCCTGTCTCTACTAAAAAAATACAAAAAATTAGCCGGGCGAGGTGGCGGCGCCTGTAGTCCCAGCTACTCGGGAGGCTGAGGCAGGAGAATGGCTGAACCTGGGAGGTGGAGCTTGCAGTGAGCTGAGATCACGCCACTGCACTCCATCCTGGGCGACAGAGCGAGACTCTGTCTCAAAAAAACAAAACACAAAACAAAAACAAACAAAAACTTGGGAAACGTGCCCAAGTGTGAGTGCGCAGCTCAGTGAATTTCCTCCAGCTAAACACATGAGATCAGGAGCAGGCATGCCCCCCACCGCTTCACCTGTGCCTACACTGTCCGCTGCACCCTTAGCAGCTCCTCACCCCCACAGACCACCCCCCCGTCCACCCCCCCCCACTCCCCCAGCAGAACGAGGGTCTTCTAGGATGTGGCTTCGCTCCTCGCTTCTGCTTCAGGAGGGCTCCAGCAAGGGCAGTAGTGCCCGCAGCTGCCTCTCCCGCTCCACTCCCTAGTGCTGCCTCACCTGAGTGCCGAGTGTCCCATCACCAGCCGTCTGTTTTGTCAGGACCCTTCCCCATGTCTTCTTGAGCCTGAGGACCCCTCTTCCTCATGACTTCTTGAGCTTCCCCCCCAGTCCCTGATGCCCACAGGATCATGACCCCGCCAGGGCCAGGGGTTCTGGAATTCACTTCTGTACCCCTAAAGCCCAGGCCCTGCCTGCCATGTTGATGCCCTCCAGTCATCTCAGATGGATGAGGCGGGTATGCCGGGTGGACTCTGCCGGGAACAGGCAGGGGCATTCCTGGCCTGATGCCCACGGCAAAGGTGTGGTGGAGAGTGGGACCCAGGGGGCAGGGCCCAGCCAGCCAGTGTCTGCAGGTGCGGCAGCGGCGAGGCCAGGCTGTTCTCAGAACGGCTGTGGTTTCACAAGCGCTGAGCAGAGCCTGTGCTTGCTTCCAGATCTCCATTACAAGCTCATAATGAATCAGACATCACAGAAGAAAGGTGAGAACTGGGCCCTTCAGTGCCTGAGGGGATGCTCCTGCCACCCAGGGAAGCGCCTGCAGACTGTCCTTGCCCACCTGGCTGCACTTGCCCCTGTATGCCAACCCAGTGGGGACAGGTTTTGGGGCACCTGGACAGATGCCGCTACCTCTAGCCGTGGCTGGACGATGTTATGCAGCCAAGCACAGCTCGTGCTGCTCTCAGTAAGCCCAGGGCCTGAGATCATCGCAGTGGGGAGTGGGCACAGGGTGCACCCCAGACCCTCCCTCCCTCCAAGCAGAGCTGAAATGGGAGGGACCCCTGAGACAGCCCTTGCCCTGCTAGGTCTTTAGCTCAGATTGCTGCTGTGGCCAGGCCCAGGATTTCCAGCCCTGTGGCTCTGAGTCCTGACATCCTGTGGGAGGGGCTCTGGACACACTCCATCCAGGGATCCCTTCCTGCCGCCTGGGCAGCAACCATGGGGACAAAGGGAGGAAGCAGAGTCCTGTTTCCTTGCCACTTGTCCAAGGCACTTCCCATCCCGACAGTGGGCCCACCCAGCCCAGGATTCTGGGTTGTGGTCTCGAGCTCACTCCTGGTTATTTTTGGGACCGGGGATGACACCAGGACATCTGACTGGTATATGGAACCAGCCTGGGAACATCACAGCTGGGGCAGTGCCTAGGGCTCCCCCTTCCCAGGCAGACACGGAGAATGGGGTCGAGGGAGGGCCTTTCCCTAGCCGCTGTAGCAACTCCAGTGAGCTGTTCTGGGCAAAGTGCGGCCCAGCCAGCAGCCCCAGCCCTGCGGTGCTGGGGGCCCTGACGGGACACAGGAAGGGGACACAGCAAGAGGCCATGCTCTCCCTCGGGACCTGCTGTTCCATGTGTCCCAAGCCCTCCTGCTTTCCAGACGGCCCCTCAGGAAACCACCTTTCCGGGGCCTCTGCTCCCTTGGGTGCGTGCTGGGTCTGCGTCCGCGGAGTGTGGGTAGAGCCGGGAGGACACAGCCCTGCCAGGCTGAAGGAGGGCCCCTCACGGACACACAGGCCAGGAGGCAAGCACGGGCGTCTTGCAGGCGGCAGCACCGACGCTGCGCTCTCCTGCAGACAGCCTCTCCACGTCCAGCTTCCCATCTGTCAAGTCCATCTCTAACTCAGGTGAGCAGGCTGGCGTCCACGTGCTCACAGGGCTGAGTGTCCCACACGGACCCCAGCCTGGGTGGCCACTAGGGGTGCTGCCCAGGCCCCCTCTGCTGGGCCAAGCTCAAGGATTTGGGGGTGAAGGGGCAGCGGAAAAGAGCCCTGCAAGTTGAAGCCACCAGGAGGGGATTAAGGGGGGTTGGGCAGGACCGGGGCCAGACACAGGGCAGTAAGGCCTCACGGCAGGCGCCCCAGGCGAGGCAGCAGGCAGGCAGGAGGGGCTTCCCCGGGTGGCCTTCCAGGGAGGATGTACCCTGGCTGCCCAGCAGGAGCCCTGCTTGGCCGTATTCCTGCCACAAGAAGGCAGGACACAGGAAGGACGGCACTGCCCACAGAGCCCTGGGCTCATGGCACCTTCTGCAAAGTGAGCCGGGAGCAGAGAGCCTCTTTTCCCCACTGTGCCTCCGCTGGAGGCCAGACGTTTTCCTCAGCCCAGCCCTAAGCCGCGCCGTTCCCGGGATGGGCCCAGGCGCTAGATGGGCCTTGTCCTTGCCGAGGAAACCCACGCAGGCTGGGCCCAAGCCTCTCGTGCGGTTTCATTTTACCCAAAATGGGGCCAGCCTCCACTATCTTGGTTGTTCTAGTGTTCACAGGCACCACCCATGGGCTTCACCCTCAGAAGCTCATTGATTCCCCCCAGCACCGTCCAAGGCAGGCTCCCTTTACAAAGGAGGAAACTGAGGCAGGGGCAGGGGCTTCTTGGGTACACACAGCTGATCCTGGAAAACTTGGGCAGTGACTGCTGGTGCCTGCAGTGACCGGCCTTGTAGGGTCTGACTTGCAGCCAACTCTCAAGGCAAGGCCAGGCCCCAGCCCGGCTCCTTCAACAAGCAAGATTCGAAAGCTGACGCCCCCCAGAAGGCAGACCTGGAAGAGGAGCCCCTACTTCACAACAGCAAGCTAGACAAGGTTCCTGGGGTGCAAGGGCAGGCCAGGTAAGGCTTGCCTGCACCCGAAGGGCCCCATGACTATATTTACGAGGCTCACGCCCTGTAGTCAGCCAGCTGCTCTGCCCCTAGCTCCAGGGGCCTGTCCCCAGGACTCATGACAGCGGATGACGGCCACGCTCTACCCATCGGTGGGCGCTGTCTTCCTCCCTCCCCCGGCGGTCCTGTGCTGACCTGAGCCCACAAGGGGGCCAGTAGCAGCCGCCAAACCACTTTCTCAGAGAAAAGTAATGTTCTCACCAAGAACAGTGAGTTGCGCTCCTGCTGCCCCTTGGCCACAGCCTGCCTTTGGAGGGCACTAGGCCAGCAGGACAGAGCAGGACCAGGTTCTGACGATCCCTGAGTTTCTGGGACCGCCCTGGGATGCTAGAGTGCACACTTGCAGCAGCGCAACCAGCAGGACAGGCTCCTGCATCTCTGCACATCCCGAGACCAGGCCTGGAGCAAGAGGCCCCACTGGGTGTGGGGTCACGACCAAGAGCAGCCTGGCAGCTAGCTGGTTACCCATTGAAGCCCATCTGACCCTTAGGGCACCTTCAGAGGGGAGAAAGGGACAGGCCGCAGTCCCAGAGACCCCCACCTGGTGCCCAGAGCACCCTGCCGAGTGGGAGAAGGGAACCAGGCCCTCCCCCACATGGGCCTGGACGCTGCCGGGGGAGGTATGCTGGGGGAGTGGTTAGACACACCTGGGCAGGTCACCTCTGGCTGCTGCAATGACTGTTTCAGAAAGGAGAAAGCAGAGGCCTCTAACGCAGGCGCGGCCTGTATGGGGAGCAGCCAGCACCAGGGCAGGCAGATGATGGGGGTGGGGGCACACCCCCCAATGAGCCTGCCCCTTCACCTGCGAAAACCCACCACGCTGAAGCAGTGCGAAGTGCTCATCCGCGAGCTGTGGAACACCAACCTCCTGCAGACCCAGGAGGTGAGGCTGGGTGGTAGGGTTGGCCCTGCGCAGTCTGGCGCCGCCACAGGCCCCACCACACCCCTGCCCCTGCCTTTCAGCTGCAGCACCTCAGGTCCCTCCTGGAAAGGAGCCAGAGGCCCCAGGCAGCCCCAGAGGAGGCTGGGTCTAGCTCTCCCAGGTGAGTGCCTGGTGCACCCCTGCCCCATCCCTGGGCACCTGTCCACAGCTCACTGCTGACTCTTCCTTCACCCAGGGACCAGGAAGCCATGCATTTTCCTAAGGTCTCCACTAAGGGCCTCTCGAAGAAATGGTGAGTCCCATGGGCATGGGGACAGTGGGGCAGCCCTGCAGCCTGGGCCCCAGGAAGGGAGTGGGGGAGGGAGGGAGTGGGGAAGGGAGGGAGTGGGGAAGGAAGGGAGTGGGGAAGGGAGGGAGTGGGGAAGGGAGGGGGTGGGGAAGGGAGGGAGTGGGGAAGGGAGGGAGTGGGGAAGGGAGGGAGTGGGGGAGGGAGGAAGTGGGGAAGGGAGGGAGTGGGGAAGGGAGGGAGTAGGGAAGGGACGTTGGCGGTGCAGAAGCAGAGCACGCGGAGGCCTCTCTAGGTCCCGGTGAGGGCCACGCAGGCCCCACTCCAACACCACTCCACTCCCAGGGATGCCCACAGTGACAGTCCCTCTACCCGCCCCCAGCCTGCTTCTGAGCCCGCCTGTGGCGCAGCGTGCCGTCCTGCCTGCCCTGAAGCAGACCCCGAAGAACAACTTTGCCGAGAGGCAGAAGAGGCTGCAAGCAATGCAGAAACGGCGCCTGCACCGCTCAGTGCTTTGAGCCTCCCACATCTGGTCAGTGCCAGGCCCACCAACCTGCAGCTGGAGACTGGTTCTCTATAGCATTTCCTGACACTTCACTACCTTTAGGCCTGGCTGAATTCCAAGATAGATGACACTTGAAATAGATAAAGTACTTGATCTCTAAACTAACCATTTATTTTCTGTTATTTTGCTATTTAGCATTTACATAAAAAGCACATGATGAAGTAGGTATCGCTTTACCTGTTGAAACTGAAAATAAAGCTTCTTTACTTCCAAGTTGTATGCCTGGTTCCTCACTGGCTATCAGGCGTCGTGTCCCTTCCCATTCCCCGCCCCTGGCTCCTAGCCCAGCCCCTGCTGTCTGCAGAGACCTGCCTGGGCAGCCCAGTCTTGCTCATCCAGGACCTGTCAGTGGCCCTGGGAGAGGCGCATTGGCAGAGCCGTGCACATCCTCCCTGGAGGCAGGAGGGCTTTTCTGGTCCCCTGGCTGGGCTGGAGCTGCGTTCCAAACACATGATCACTCTGGTCTCCTGCCCAGACTACATGCTCCTGGGGGCGAGAGGCTGTCCTCTCCTGCCCTGACAGCACCGCAAAGAGGTCCAGCCAGGCGGGCCTCCTCCTTGGAGGGCCATCTCCAGAACGGTGTGGACATGCCCGCACCACCCCTTCCACCACAGCACAGCACATGTCCAGTCGGGGGTGGGGTGGCCAGCTTAGCGCCCACCCTCACCCAGCCACAGTCTTCCCAAGCCCATGGCCCCACTTCCTTGGCATTAATCTCAACCTCTCCCTGCTTCAGGGAGCAGAAACTGTGCCAGGAAGCTGGGGATGAACCAGGCCAAGGAATGGGATGGTGTGTTAGAAAAGGAGAGCTGAGGCCCGGGGCCAGAGTGGACAGTGCCGGCCCCAAGGCTGACAGCATCCTGACAGGACAGCAGGCCCAGGTTCACGGAGGGGGGACACAGTGACAACTCCTGACAAACACAGGAGTCACGAGATTATAACAATCACAGATGATGGGGTAGTTCGCATAAAAAGGGAGGACCTCATCACCAAAGGGCTGCTGGCCGGTGCCCAGATGAGCGGGCAACACAGGGAGGCACTCACTGCATGGGGGCCCCGCCCACTGCCAGGCTCTCTCTGGGTGGTGCAGCACGTGGTGTTCTGAGGACGTGGGTCCTGAGGGCCTCGCTCTTCATCCATCACAATGGACACGGCCCTTACACAAGTGGCACAGGGGTGCTGGCAGCACGATCCCTGATGCCCCTGCTCCTTGGGGGCCCCACAGTGCTGAGCAGGAATGCCACAAGGGCCGAAGCCCAGGGGGTGGCAGGGAGCCGGCAGCAGCCATCGGCCAGCCCTCCCTCCGATAGGCAGCCTGTGCCCTGGACTCAGGGGCTTCTCCAGGGGGTGCCCCACTTGCCCAAAGCAGCGCAGCCTGAACCCCAAACTGTGAGCAGAGAATCCCATGTGCGTTTGAAGAGTTTCCTATGTCCTCTGTGTTCTCCTATAGAAAGGAGCAGAGGTGTGTCGAGCACACACAAGACGCTCTAACACCCTGAGCGCACCCTGATGCTGCTGAGACAGACCCGGACCCTGGACAGGCCGCGGTGAGAGCAGCCCGAGGACGGTGGCTGGGGACTGTGTCCGGCTTTGTGGAGGAAGTCACATGGAACACCTTCTCCAAGAAGACGGCCATTGCCCTGCAGGCAGCCTGCTCCACTGCGCCCGTCTCAGTCTGTGCAAGTGTGGGATTTCACTTGGCAGATCCCCAAGGCAGAAGAGAAAAGGAGGAAAGTTAACCTAACTCCAGGCTCTCCATGGAAGCCAACACCTAGAAGTGTCTGACAGGAGGCGTGTGTCCTTGGCCCCGATGAGGCTGTGGGCCATCCCTGCAGTCCTGGCTAGGCAGCCGGGAGGCAGGCCTGGTGGATGCTCCGGGCACAGGTGTTGAGCAAGGTGGTAACCGAGTGCTTGTCCGGGAGCTGTGGCAGCCTGGAGGTCACGCAGTGATGCACCGACCTGAGGAAGGGCTTGGTGCCTGCAACAGAACAGTGGGCGTGAGCCTGAGGCAGTCGGCACCGCACCCAGGCCCTGCACACCCGCCCTGCACACCAGGATTGGCTGAAACACCAGGAGGAGCCCTGCACGCTGCCTGCCTGGCTGTAGGGCTCTCCTCCCAGAGCCTCATCATCAGTGAAGAACTGAATCTGAATGGAATTTGGAGCCCAGGGCTTTGCCTCTGACAATCTTGGGGACCTAGCCCTGGCTCTGCTGTGTGCCAGCTCTGGGCTCAGGGAGACTGATCCCTGTCAACGTGGCTCTCTGGTGCCATGTCACCTAGATGGGGCCCTGTGTGCCCAAGCTACTGGTAGGACACGTCAGCTGCGCTGAGCTCCCTAGTGGGCTCTGGAAGAGCAGGGTCTGTCCTTAAACCGCAGCTTTCTCACCCCTCGGCCACTGAACACAGCCACCCTGGACAGCTGACCTGACACAAGATGAAGGGGCAAAAGGACACAGGGGAGAGCAGAGACCCTCTCTCACTGGTGGACAACCCGCTCCTGTCAGCACAGGGCGAGCCAGAAAGGGGATGGAAGGGCCTGAGCTGGGAGGGGCTGGAGTGCACAGAGGCTGTCCCTACTGCACTGGGAGCCTGGTTTTCCAAACGACCCCTGCCTGCCCTGAGCCCCCACACAGCTCCTCTGGGTCTGCCCACTGTACAGCCACTGTCGGTCCATCCATCGCGGACTCTGGGCACGGCAGTCGGTGGGCACGTGGTGGCACACTTGGGAGGTCCTTGTCGTTTGCAACACACAAGGCTGTACCTGTGACTGGACAAGGCCCGGCCTGCCCTGCCTTACAACTCTGCTCCCGAACAGGACTCTTCACACCCGAGGAGGTTCTGGTGAGGCTTGTGGCAAAGCCTGGAGGTCTCTCTGACTCTCGGATTTCCAAACCTGAAGCCCGGAGTGCCCTGCATGGATGGGTACCCACAGGTCCTGCCCACCACCTCCCCAGGGCCACAGGCAAGCAGAGCCACATCTGTGTTGGGGAGACGAGGGTGCGTGGGCTCTGGCGGCGGGGGCAGAGACATGGCTAGTCTGTCCTGAGCTCGGTGTATGTGAAGACAGGGCAGACAGCCTGCAGAGCGTGAACACAGGGCGGGGTCCGGGCACTGTGCCCTCCGGCTCAAACGGCAGAGGCCTGGGGCTGCGGTCAAGGTTTGCTAACCAGCGCCAGCCTGACGCTCCTGGACACTCGCCCAACTTGCAGATCGAGTGGACGGTGCCATTGTAGCTGCAGTGAGAAGGGTCCAGGTTTATCATGCACTTGGGGTCCAGCCTGGCCACCTCGCCTTGCAGCACGCTGGGGGTGCTCTGCCGCTGGTCGTCCTCAAGCCTATGCTTCTGGGTGCATACCACCGGGGCCTTGAGAAGGCAGCATGGTGACCACACTGGGTACATATGGCCCAGGGCTGGCCAGCTGCCCTCCACAAAGCCCAGCCCAGCTGGATGTACGTGATGAGTGGGCCGTGGATGACAGTCATGGCTGAAGCAAATGCGCAGGGAATGGCTGAAGACAGGTGAGCAGATGTTGGCCAGGATGGCATCCAGGAGCTGCTGGCACAGGTGCTGCTGTTTGGTCAGCGGCACCGGGGCAGTGGGTTGGAGGCAAGATGGGCATGGTCAGCAGCCCAGGACCCGAGGGTTCTTCATTTGGGGGGCCTTCCCACCCCAGGCCCGTCCTCACTCACAGCCTGATTCCCAACGCCTCTCTCTCAGCCTCCACCCTTGTGCAGACAATGCTGGCCGATCCTGGGTGTAATCCCCACCCCCACAGCCCCTGACTCCTCTGGGCCGGGTGGCAGAGGCACCCATGGGGGCCGTAGACAGAGGGTGACTTCTCCCATGTGCCCACCCAGCACAGCAAACCTGGCCCGGAAGAGGCCTGGTGGGCAGGGTCTCAGGTCAGGCCCAGTCCCCACCCAGCCGCCCTGACCTGGAAGGACCCTGCTGTGGTGCTCCCAGGAGCTCTTGGGGGAGCCCCAGTTCCCCTAGGGGTCCCCAGCATCCCACTCACCACTGCCATGTCATTCTTGAGTTTCTCCAGGGTGATGTCACACTTTGGCAAGGTCTTCAGGGGACCTGCAGAGAGAGGGAACTCAGGCTGAGCTCCGTGCTGGAGGGCTGGGAGACATGGCTGGTCTCAGGCTGGGATCTGGGATCCCAACCACCGTCACTGGACCTCCGCCCTCAGAAACCTCTGCAGGAGCTCCCTTCAGCTGACCAGCTGTTCCCAGACCCAGAGTCTAGGCAGGCGGCCCTCACCCTCAGGAGCTGCCCATCCCTGTTGGCAGTGAGTCAAGAGAAGGGACAGTGGCCAGGCCCCTGACCAGGCTGGGAAGGCCTCAGTCGCATCTAGGCCAATCCGTGTCCCACCCAGTCCTATAACCCTAAGGATCAACTCAGGAAGGCCCGGAGGACTGCCCAATAAGGACTGGCACTCTATCCAGACAAGCAGAACAGAGAGATGCTTCTAGATGGGGGTGCGGGGACAGCCTGAGTTTAGATGAGAGGGAGGTACAGGCCAATGCCCATGCAGTTCTGAGGTGCTGCCTGAGCTCACAGCAGCCTGTGGCCAGTGACCCTGCCTTCCACCTGCTTCTCACCAGCACCGTCTTGTTTCATTTTCATGACAGCACACATGGGCTGCAAATGGGGTAACTGAGATGTAGCTGCCTGCCCACAGTCACTGGGAAGTCAGGGGCAGAACTCCAGGTCAGGTTCAGGCCCATCACAGCCAGCTGATGGTCAGGCCACCGCAAGCTGGGCCCCCAGCTACTGGCTGGATGAGGCCTGGCTGTGATGGCCAGCGTGAGGGCCACAGCAGTGGTCAGGAGTAGGGCAAAGGCTGGGCACTGGCCAAGATGAAGCCTGGACTCAAAGGCCAGCACACGAGTGGAGCCTTGGAGGCCTCTGTCCAGGTCCCAAAGAGCTGCCTGGTGCCTTTGCTAAACCCACATCACTACCAAGTGCCCGTCCACAGCTGGGCCACCCCTGCCCTTGGGGACCGTCCGTGGGCTGTGGGCAAAGTTCACAGCTTGGAGAGGCCTGTCACAACGTCTAGATGGCTCTTCATCTTGCTCAGGTCCTCTTTTCTGTCTGGGACAGCAGAGGGGACACTCAGACACGAGCCCAGTGGCATCCCCAGGGCGCTGGCCCCCACCCCGGCCGCAGCCCACCTTCGTTCTTGTCGATCTTGTTGACCACGCGGTGCGGGGGACTGATGCGCTTGGATAGCTGCTTCAGCGTGTCCAGGTACTGCTGCTCCTCGCCCGGCTCGAGCCAGCTGGACTCATGACAGAGGTCACTGCAGGACTATGGGCAGGTGAGGCCACAGCCCTAGACCCTCAGGCGGGGAGCTTGGGCTCTGAGGGCCCCAGAGCTTGCACACCCGGTATAAGCTGAGGTCTCGTAAAGGTGAGGGGCGACCTTAGCACCTCGACCCGCCAGGCCGTGTACAGTTCACATTATGGAGCTGTGGGTCCCGGGCCCGACTTACCAGGTGTGTGTAAAAGTCTAGGGGAGGGGACACTGGAGTTCTGTGCGGTGTGGGACTGGGCAGGAAGCTACGGGGGACGGAGAAGGGCTGGAGCTGCAGCCAAGCGGGAGAAATATGGGTGCCGGGCCCAGGCAGGACAGCCACCGAACTCACCGTGCAACAAACCACAGTGGTGGCCACTCCCCATCCTCCTTCCCGTGCCAGCTGGGCGGGATCTCACCCAAAACAAGGGGTTGGGAAACAGGCAAGACGAGCACCCCGCGCACAGGCTCAGCAGGGGCCAAGAGCACACACAGCTGGCGGACGCCCTGCTTCTGGAAGGTGATGGGATGCCAGCGAGATTACAGTGGACACTTCCTTCAGCTAGAAGCCTAACGAGCATACCAGCTGGATCCGCACCAGCTGAAAACACCGGCTGCTGAGTCCAGGAGTTTGAGACCAGCCTGGGCCACCTAGGGAGACCTTGTCTCTACCAAAAAAAAAAAAAATAAGAAAAAGAAAAAGCTGTTCCATGGCTGTTCACTTTCAAAATACCAAGAAAAGGAAAGAAAAGGGAAGTTCGGCCGGGCACAGGGGCTCATTCTTGTAACCCCAGCACTTTGGGAGGCCAAGGCAGATGGATCAGTTGAGGTCAAGGGTTAAAGACTAGGCTGAGTGCGGTGGCTCACGCTTGAAATCTCAGCACTTTGGGAGGCCGAGGTGGGCAGATCACAAGGTCAGGAGATCAAGACCATCCTGGCTAACACGGTGAAACCCCATCTCTACTAAAAATACAAAAAATTAGCCGGGCGTGGTGGTGGGCGCCTGTAGTTCCAGCTACTCGGGAGGCTGACGCAGGAGAATGGTGTGAACCCGGGAGGCGGAGCTTGTAGTGAGCCGAGATTACGCCACTCACTGCACTCCAGCCTGGGAGACAGAGTGAGACTCCATCTCAGAAGAAAAAAAAAAAAAAAAAAAAAAGAAGAGTTAAAGACTAGGTTGGCCTGTCTCTACTAAAAATACAAAAGAAAAATTAGCTGGGCATAGTGGCACGTGCCTGTAGTCCCAGCTACTTGGGAGGCTATGGCAGGAGAATCTCTTGAGCCCTGGAAGTGGAGATTGCAGTGAGCCGAGATCATACCACTGTACTCCAGCCTAGGCAACAGAGTGAGACTCTGTATTTAAAAAAAAAAAAAAAAAAAAAGAAAAAGAAAGAAAGAAAAAGAGCAGTTCTCATTTTCCTACTGGGCTCAACCTGCAGTGTTTCGATGAAGTGACGTCCTAGACAGGGGAGGGACAGTCCGAAGAGGCAAGAGCAGCAGCTTCCACTGGCTGGGCAGTCACTACGCACCACCGCCAGGCTGGCTGTCCACACACGCCACGTCCTTCCTCTGCATGAGACACCAGGGCAAGGGAGCCCCCCAGCAGGCCTGAGGACACGTGGAGACACACAGGGAGGTGTGGCAGACAGGCTCCAACCTTATCACACAAGGTGGGCAGCTTCCCCCAGCTGTAAGTAAATGTGAATTCCGTGGTGTGTTTCACACAAGACTCCAAGTAAGAAGGTGATGGGCAGGCGCGGTGGCTCATGCCTGTAATCCCAGCACTTTGGGAAGCCGAGGAGGGCAGATCACCTGAGGTCAGGAGTTTGAGACCAGCCTGGCAAACATGGTGAAACCCCATCTCCACTAAAAATACAATAATCAGCTGGGTGTGGTGGCAGGCACCTGTAATCCCAGCTACTCAGGAGGCTGAGGCAGGAGAATCACTTGAAACTGGGAGGCAGAGGTTGCAGTTAGCAGAGATGTTGCCACTGCACTCCAGCCTGGGCAGCAGAGTAATACTCTGTCTCAAAAAGAAAATTTTTAAAAAATCTAGCCTATTTGTTTAAAGGAGATGTTAATAATTCATGCTCCCTTGAACCTCTTCAGTTTTTTGCTTTTGACAGGAAGGTTCATTAACACACACAATCAATTACTAAAAGAAATATTATCAAGCAGTAAAACCTCACATTCTATTAGCAGCCAAAAAAAATTCAACTTAACACTATCATTCTCAAACTCAAATATCCAGAAGTCAATTTAAGTAATTCATGTCTCCTTGGCAAGAGTGTATGGATGATACCTTTTTCCGGGTGATAGTAAAACCTATTCATTTTCTTACCTCACCCAGTATCAGCTTTTATATTTTTACTGATAAAGCCCACAATACACATACTGTATAGAAATCTTGAGCTCTTAATTAAAAGGAACACACAGAGTTATATCTAAATCATTTGCTACAATGATCTAAACCCACTTTATTTACATCTTAGTATTAATCAGAGGGCAAAAACTCTTACATTACCTTTATTTTCAAGACTGGAGGCAGTGTTGCTATCTGGCACAGGCAACATGTGTTCATAACCCCATGATACCATGTGTTTACCCCCAAGCAAACAGAAGGGAGATCCAGGCCCTACTTCTAAAAGCAATAGCCTAAGGGACAGAAGGAAAATCAAAGACACCGAGATGATTTGTTTTAGCAAGAAGTGTACCTGCCACCCCAAAGAGCAGGAACCACAATCTTAAAACTAAGATGTATAATATTTTATATGAGTATTATTCACAAAAGATATTCACCATATTTTTAAACAAAAAATTACAAAGCCATTTTTCTTAAAATGTTACAATAAAATTGTATCTGTGTGTAAAATGTATCTATTTTGTGTGTATGTGTGTGTGTGTGTGTGTGAGAGAGAGAGAGAGAGAGAGAGAGAGAGAGAGGGAGAGAGAGAGGGAGGGAGGGTTATGAATTAGGAAGCATATGTACCAAAACATTAGGAGTAGTTATATTTGGGTAATGAGATTATGAATGATTTTCACTGTCTTCTTTATACCTTATCAATCATCCGCTCAAAATTTACAATCAGAATTCATTATAAGCTATTGTTTGTTTATTTATTTATCTGTTTTGTGAGACAAGGTCTCACTCTGTCACCCAGGCTGGAGAGTGCAGTCGCGCGAGCTCAACCCACTGTAACCTCGGCCTCCAAGGGTCAAGCAATCCTCCCGCCTGAGCCTCCTGGGTAGCTGGGACAAATCAAAGCTAAGTTTTCTTCAGTTTAAAGCAACTTGTTATAATCACGTTGTTTAGCCTCATGGTAATCAGAAAACAAAAATCAATAACAGACACCCTAAAATTTAAAGTAAGGAATTAAAACACACTACCAGAAAAAATTACCTCACTACAAACAAAGACAGGAAGGAAGGGAAGGAGGAAAGAAAAGAAAGAAAGAGAGCGAGAGAGATCTGAGAGAAAAGAGGAAGGGAGAAAGAACAAAAGAAAAAAGAGAGAGCAGCAAAACAACCAGAAAACCAGTAAAAAATGGCAGTAGTATGTTTTTACCTGTTAGTAATAACTTTGAATATAAATGAATTAAATTCTCCAATTAAGACAGAGTGGCTGAATGGATTAAAAGACAAGACCCAATTACATACTGCCTACAGGACACTCAGTTCACCTACAGGCATACACAGACTGAAAGTGAAGAGATGATAAGATATCCCATACCAGTGGAAACCAAAAAAGCAGAAGTAGCTGTACTTAGATTATATATACTTGCGTCAAAAAAAGAAAAAAATGAGATAATTATAAAATGAAAAAGAAGTAAACAGCAGCCTAACAATTGTAAGTGCATATGCAACCCGCACTCAAGCAACTAAATACAGAAGCAAATATTAACAGACCTTAAAGGACAGATGGATGGCAATACAGTAATAGAATACCTCAGCACTCCACTATAATCAACACCCCACTATCCTCAATGGACAGATCACCTAGACAACAAAACGTCATCAGTTAAACTGTACTCTATACCAAATGGACCTAACATTTACACAGCTTTCCACTCCGCAACTGCACAATGCACATTCCACTGAATAGTATATGGATTATTCTCCAGGATAGACTATGCGTTAGGCCAAAAAACAAGTCACAACACATTTTTAAAAACTGAAATCATATCAAGTATCTTTCCTGACCACAGTGGAATAGTACTAGAAATCAGTAGCAGGAGGAAAAACTCTACAAATATATGGAAATTAAAACACATGCTCATGAACAACCAATAAATAAAAAATGTATTGAAAAAAGAATAGAAACACAACATAACAAATCCTGTGGGATGCAGCAAAAGCAGTTGTAAGAGGAAAAGGGCATAGCTATAAACGCCTACATCAGAAAAGTAGAAAGATCTCAAATAGCCAACCTGACAGTACACCTCAAGTAATGAGAAAAACGAGAAAAATAAAATGCTAAAATTAGTAGAAAGAATATCATAAAGATTAGAGAAGAAATTTTAAAAATAGAAACAAAAAATACAAAAAGTCAATGGAACAAAGAGCTGGATCTTTCAGAAAAAAATCAAAATTGACAAGCTTTAACTAGTCTAAGGAAAAGAAAAACAAAACAAAATCATAGATGAAAAAGGAGACATTACAATTGATAACACAGAAACATGAAGGATTCTAAGAGATGACTAAAAACACCTATGTAAAAACAAGTTGAAAAATCTAGGAGAAGTGAATAAATTTCTGGACACATAACAAATTCCCAAGATAGAATGATAAATAAAAAACCTGAGGCTGGGCACGGTGGCTCATGCCTGTAATCCCAGCACTTTGGGAGGCTGAGGCGGGTGAATCACAAGGTCAGGAGATTGAGACCATCCTGGCTAACACGGTGAAACCCCGTCTCTACTAAAAATACAAAAAATTAGCCGGGCGTGGTGGCGGGCACCTGTAGTCGCAGCTAATTGGGAGACTGAGGCAGGAGAATGGTGTGAACCCAGGAGGCGGAGCTTGCAGTGAGCTGAGACCATGCCACTGCCCTCCAGCCTGGGCGACAGAGCAAGACTCCATATCAAACAAACAAACAAACAAAAAACAACCTGAACAGACCAATAATGAGTAATGTAATTAAAGCAGCAATAAAAAGTTTTCCGTCAAACAAAACACAATCATGGTTTTTACTGCTGAATTTTACCAAACATTTTTAAAAGAGAGCTAATACCAATTTTACTCAAAATATTCCCCAAAAAATTGAAGAGAAAGGAAGTCTTCAAAACTTGTTCTATGAGGACAGCATGACCCTGGTACAAAAACCGGACCAGGAAATAACATAAAAAGAAAACCACAGGCATTTTAAATATCCCTGATGAACACAGATGCAAAAAAATCCTCAGCAAAATACTTGAAAATTGCATTTGACAACACAATAAAAAGATGATCTGCCCTGATCAAGTGGGATTCATCCCAGGAATATGAGGATGATTCAATAAAACACATATAATTAAATGTGCGACATCACATTCAGCGAATCAAGAGCTAAAACCATACAATCATTTCAGCAGATGCTGAAAAAAATAAAAATCAACATTCCTTCATGACAAAACCCGAACAACGTAAGTACAGAAGGAACATATCTCGGTGCAATAAAGGCCATATATGACAAACCCACGGCTAACATCGTAATCCATGGGGAAAGGTTAAAAGCTCTTCCTCTAACGCCTGGAACAAGTGTGGCTACTTTTACACCACTTTTATTCATCACAGTACCGGAAGTCCTAGGTAGGGCAATTAGACAGGAGA